TGGACTGCAGTCGAAAGTAGCTTCATTGTTTCATAAAGTGTACCTCTTAGCTGATCCTTCATCCTAGTGAAAACAGCAAAATCAAAGTTGTCTCATCTGGAGAGTATGTAACTTGGGGCAGCTTTGCCATTTATTTTGCCAGTTATTTGTGATGGTTTCCTGCACAATATTAGCAGTGTGATCGGCTGCATTATTCGGATGGAAAAATTTAGAGTTCGGCTGAATGGAAGTTTTAATCAACTTACAATACCATTACTTTGTTGATTTTCTGGTCCACTGGTACAGCATTAACTAGCACAATTTCAGAAATGTTCGTGAAAACAATGAACATCAATTTTCCCTCAAAAATTTGTAATTTGAATAAGAACAAATGAAAAATAAGGATCCTTCCTTTGCACATATTGATAGATTTCTGTAATGGTAAATTGTGTGACGTAAAACGTGCCCCGCCTACCCAAAAGTCAAGTTACCATAGTAACCCTTATTTTTGACCAATCTAATTAGAGATGCTGAGATTTTAAGAATCAATCAGATAGTATTTTTTAAACATTGTGTGAAAATTTTATAGGAAAATATCAAGAATCTTTGAAATGAGAGCATTTTTCCGTGAACTTATTGAACGACCTGGTACATATTGTGAGGGTAATCTACCCAAAGATGGAACCCACATAGTGAGGATTTAAACTATGGTAAAAAATTTCAGTCATGTGAGGTCAAGTTCAAGGTCAAGAAGAATCAAACCAACCAGAGATACATAGTTTTAAGGACAGTCAAGGTGAATGGAACATTGAAAGTTCACTTGTTGCCAACCTCACCATTAGCCTCACTGTTAATGTAAACATTTAAAATGAGAATCTATATATTGCTTCCATTTGTAGCCCAATAAAACAAATTAGATAAAGGAAGATGAAACGATTCTCAAATGAGAAAGGGTTAGATAATGTCGTCTAAAACATAGAATACCATGATAAAACTCAATTTGAAGGATCGAGTTGCAAATACAAGTCTATCTAAAGGCAACTCAGTTAGAGGTCTACACAATGTTAAATATAGTGAGCGGAAGATATTTAAGCGATGCATTTGTATGGGCGATGGTCATACGTATAGGTTGGCGTTTCATCTATTGGGACTATCCAAATCTGCAAATGGATAGTTTTAGTAGTTGCTATTTTGGCATTGTGATGTAAAAGTAGCACATGGAATTTTGGGAAACACAAGGGATTGTGAATTTGTACCATCCAAAAGGTTTTTTGAATTTTCTCCATGGCAATTCCGGGAGTAATCCAAAAAGTTATCCTGTGATAAGTTGATTCAACCCATATTAGGAAATGTTTTTTTTTATCTCAAACAATCTACGAGGTGGATAACTTTTAGGGGTTCGACCATATGTAATATATCCAAGATTTTATCTGAATAAATGTTAGGTTCCTGGATTGAAGTAATGATAGATGTTCTTGAACTTACAAGATGCGATGGGAATATGACATTGCCAAGAAGCATGACCATAACGAAACGTATGAGTAAGCGTGAGCATGTCTAAATTAGACTATGCTATCAATTTCCTTAGGTAATTATATTTTTATTAATATCACAATTTCTTCATAAAACATGATTTTAGAAACTAAGGATACAGGTACAAACGTAGAAATCTTTGCATCCACTAATTGTTTTACCTAAACTTGCTTCATGTAGTTTTGATGTCTGATATCAAGAATTTATAAAATGGTAGAATTTTTAAAAACTACTAACGAGAACAGCTAATATTATGGAACACAACACAGATTTACTGAGGTTTATATCAAGCGTTCTGATTATTAAGATAGACATAATTTATCCTCTCTTGGGATACACATAACACAATATCCAAGACCTCCCATAACCTCTAATCATCACACATAAGCTGGCATTTGTTCTTCAGGCTGTCGTGATAACTCAGAAACTGTAAGTCGGAATGACGCCACTACCGTACTCGTCATATTCTTGGGAGAGTGAATTGCCTAACTAACATGGCTTTACAGGACCATGCTTCAAGAAATGCCAGCCTATCTATATCAGTGTAAAATGTTGAGTTTGTCTCATTTATCAAGTAATATATTGTTCTGTTTACTGTTTCTATATGCTGTTGTCTCAACATGAAAAGATCCCCTAAAAAGTAGTTCCATTATACATAGTTGTATTCAGTCATTGTGTGATTCCTTATCGTTTTTTTCTTTTAAGGTTAATATAACTGAACAAATATTTTCCATGGCTGTCTAAAAAAACATTTTGTCTGGATGTATTTTGATAACATGATCTCATCGCGTTTAAATAAATACAAAACAGTCAAAACACAGTCCTAGACAAATGGGACTCAAACGGGATCGACTAAAACATGTTCTTGCTGGCATAGTGGCGAATGGTGGAGGTCAATTATAGGAAACAAAAGTCCTAAGTAAAATCAAATGAAAGGTCGCCCAGTTAAGGAGTTTCTCCACATTCCGTTTTGACTTAAGACCACAATTGCAAAACATATACTTTTGGCCCAATCTTTTTATATGTCCACCCCCTAGCCCCCACCCTCAGATCCAGCAGTGTATCATGGTATATGCATATAACATCTAATGCCGAGTTTTTCTTGTGTTATTGGGATAGATTGAGTAGTGAGTACACTGATCAAAGTCGACGGATTATTACAGCGTTTTAAATTAATGAACACAATTACTGTAATCGTTAAATAAAAATGTATTCAATCAATTTAACAAATGAATTATTGACTATAGGCCAGTTGATGAGATAAACATAACGTGTCTGGTGTCTTTTTAAGTCTTATTGAAAATCAGGCTAACTTGGCGTCCTTTGGGATCTGCATCAAACCAATTCATGTAATTCAACTGAAATGATCAATTTGTATCCACACCACTCAAAATATAAATGTCAGATACATTGTTTTTATATTTCTTTTACAGGCACCAAGGGACCATAATTCCACCCTGATATTGGGATTACGGAAACTGTCACATTTTCATTGCGTCCGTGACTATTGGAATCTATTTTACCGCCAGAGTTGATCTGAGATCAAAGCAGCTTTATCCGCCTATATCATATAATAATATCAATAAAGCATCGTAATTTTGAGATAACACTTCATATTTTTATTCAAATGCCATAAAGATATTAATGTGACTCTGACGAACACGTATCTTTACTTGTCTTGACATGCTGATGTCTGTGTAGATTGGGTGACATCTAGATCTTAAATATGGACAGTGGCTACAAGGGATTAGTAACGCAGTCTTAGTCGTTGATGTACAATAGGTCAAGATGTCCGGTACTGCATCGTTGATTATGCAACAAGAGACACATCTGGAAGCTAACAATAGGGGAAAACAAGTAATATTTTTAAAATCAATTCCAGTGATTGCGCATGTAATGTTTTCGATTTTCATAAATTTAGATTCTCCAGACAAAGCTAATCTCCTTTTTAGGGGGTATTCCCATTTTTCTCATTGGGTCCAACTTAGTGTTTCCCCCTGGATCCGCCATTGTTGAAGTAGAACACGCTCAGTTTGAGATTAACCCACAAAGCTCGATCGTCGTCAAAACGAGCAGAGCACCGGATATATGTAAATGTAATGGCGGACCCAATGTCGTTTTGTTCAGGTTACCTTGACCAGGGCTACATCGTTAATTAAAGGAACTATCCATTGTAGTAGGGCCAGTGGGCCATTGGAAACATGAAGGCAATCTTAGTTATCGTGACTCCAATTCTCTAGTACCTCCTCGACCTCAGATATAATTACTGAAATAGTCTCACTAATAAGCTACATTACCCGTCAATGATTTATGAAACTGACATAATATTATAATTAAAGATACCGACCTACTAAAGAACATTGACAGTCCAAGACTCAAAAGCGTTAAATTCCAAGAAAATCATCAACATAAGGCGAGTCTCATTTATCAAGAGACCGACTAACCAAATTTTTAATAATTAGCCATGTTTCTTGAGGCTGCATTAGTATACTGGCCGTTGGCACTATTTCGGCCGACAGGGAGGAATATTACTGGTCACAAGACCAATGCGAACCTCGACGTTGAAAACAAAATTTAATCAAGTGTATCCATGGTAGACACAGACTACGTCACGGCCGTTAACCCCACCCCTCCCCCTTTTTGCATCCTATCCTAAGAGAGCTAATAGAATACAAAGAGTAAGGGGTAAAGTGACTTAAGACTATGAGTGGATAGCTGTGGTAGAGGAATCATCTCGAGGCGCCATCAACATCGTGGTTGTGCATTCAAATCCCGAACGTTAATTTAATTAAATCATGAACTTCTGGTGCTGCATATAAAAAGGTTGTAAAAAGCGCTATTGTATTGTGCCTTTTTACTAATTTCCCCCGATAATGATGTGAAATGTCAAAATAATAAGTCTGTTCTGATTGTAAAATAAATTTACCTTTAATAGTACATGGTCTTTTAAAGAGGGCTATAATAGGCCAAAAATTAACATCCAATATTTTGATATCAACTTAAAACCTGCATTGAACGTCATAACGCGATGCACTTGATATTTTGACAGGCTTGGTGAACGTTTCAGTGGGTAACTTTATTCCCTTTTCAATTAAAATCAACACTTACTCAGACTATAAATGCGCCCCTGGTGCATTAAGCCAAACATGTAGTAGGTTTTTACTGCAAATTAAGGTAAAGTGTTCTCGCTAAGTAATTGTGTGACAATACTCAAATTTAGAAGGGACTAATGTACGTGTAGAGATATCATGTCGAGGTATTCTAGGCCTATGAACATTAGGCCAATAATTTAATATTTTAAACGTCGCGTTTGTAAAAGGCTCGAATAAATGACCCTACAACTTGCCCACGTGGTTAACTTTAGATGGGCAACCAGGGACAAATACATCTGGGTATTATGGGATTTGCACGGCCAACTATCATCTAAATTTCTAATGATAAACTATTCCAATGTTTTATTCAAACTATAAAATGTAAATCAAACTTACCTGCGTGTAATACCTGTAAATAACATTGCAGTAAAATCAGCACTATTATCAGGCAATTCCCCGGTGAGTAATTCTTTCCTTCCATCGTTCTGCACTTATCTCAACAAGTTCCAAATACAGATCTATAACAAATCAGAATATGAAGACAAGTACTCCAATGTAATGCAACCCATGTTCTGAGGATGAGCTAATCCGTTACATACTGCTGATCCCCGAACGAAAAAACAAAGTTTGTTTTTAGTTCATTGAGTAAGCTAGCCTGGCAAAGAGTGGATGAAGTTGATTGACATACGCCTGCTTTAACAGTTCAGATTATGTTTTTGCACCTTGCACCAGATCTCACTGTTTCCCTCAACCCCCTTGCGTCTGTAGTGCACACGTTATTCCAACTGATCGGTCCTCTTTGATTGAATTAACAGTTAGACGCAAGAAACGATCAATTATGCATTATCACCCACTGCTCCAGGAGCAATCAAGGTGTTCGGTTGTAGGTATCTCGGGGAAGCTGTTGTTGAATGTTTGATATTAACTTATAAATTATGTCTAAGACCGTGTTAAACAGCTCGTTTTTGCAGTATGATCGTCTCCTGAATACACCACGGGCCAAAAGGTCGTCAAGAACCGTTTCATTCAAACTACCATAAGCAGTGTAAAAATACGTCTGAAAATAAATGCATAAAATAAATAAATGCATAAAATGCAATTATTGTAATATGAACACCTGTGTGGTATAAAAAAATAGTTGCGGTTAATGTCTCTATGAAGTAAACAAATTCAAACCTACATGACTTCAGTTTAAAAACTTTCAAACAGAAATACTTACTATGTCGCTTTGCCTTTGTGTATGCTGCGAATGGAGATCCGGCTTTCTATTGTCTAAAAAGCTAAATACGACGTATGTTAAGACTTGATTAAGAGGAGTGCCAAAATCAATGTTCCATCGCTTGTCTGGTAAAACAATACTTCATTGCTGTTATAACACCTTTCCTTTTGCTATTGCTGCAACTATTGAGCGTTGTTTCGACTGTCCTCCTATTATAACGATCTCCTTTCGATTACCCCTCCGAGGATATTGTCTTGTAATACAATCAATGACAATTCGCTCTTTTCCAAATGATGCTCTTCTTACGCAAATGGAAAAAGCTATGGGTGTTTATTAACTATTAAAACCCTACTTGAAAGTTAAGTCACTTACGCATGTATTGCTGAACTATAATGTATATAAACTGCTGGTAATGCACCATTGCAGTGATAAATGAATGCGAATTGTAGTGAGTCGATCCAGTAGCTTGTTTGTACTTGATGCTTTTGTGCATATTTAGAATATATGCAAGAAGGCTAGATTAGTTCTCAAGAAGCTCTATTTCCATATTGGATCCAGAACGTCAAAATCCCAGGGATCGTTTTCGTAAGAATCAAACAAGACAGCATCCGGGTCACAATCCAGACTGAACACCAGTCGCATCTGTTCACCAGAAATCCAATGCTTGAATTCTGTATCAAACGTTTACTGAAAACTTCGAGCTAAGAGTGTACTAAATCTAGATGGCGAAGCACCTAACAGTTGTAATGCTTATCAAATGTGTCTCGAGTTTACCTTTGATTTCGACAATGACACGTTCGTCATCATAAAAAATGTTATCGTTAACTGAACAGAGTATGGACAGTTTACGAGTATAAAAATAAAAGCCAATTATCCTATTCGTGGAGGTTACCTTCGAAAAAGTGTGCATTCCTAAACTCATGTTTAAGTTTATCAACATTGATCCACGTGTTTAGCAGGTTAACATAACATACATGAATAGTGAAAATATAGAATGTATAGAAGTGTTTGTAGTGGTGTAGGGCCGGTTAAAGTGTACCACGAATTCATCGTTTGATTTCCCTGATAAACTCTGATCTAATGTTTACACGAATATTAAAAGTCTTAATTGTAAACTTAACGACTATAACTAAAAGGTTTAAAGGGTTTAAGTGACTGAGAGAATGCTGCTGAACAACAAAAGCTAAAACGTTCTTAAAGGGTTTTCATAGCTAATAATTTTTTCACTATCAAGGTCTTATTACTAAGTGTATGAGTCATGCGACCTTTTCCTTTCCGATTTGAGATTTTTGGCTAAACATGAAATCAATTTTTCCAAATGGCAAATTTTAAAACGAGGAGCCCACTGAGGAAAGCTGCAGACTACGAATTTCTATCGTGCACCATTTTATTACGTGAACTTACGTTTCAGTAACAAAGTAAGGCAGCGTGTGAACACCGAGGTGACAGTGTGACCACGTACTCGTAGATATCTGTGAAACCCTACTAACCTCTAGTGGGTGTCCCCGGGGGTAGAGGCAATTTCCCTTTCAATCCAATCAGCAATCTTTCTGGCTATTTCTCTTGGTGAATTTCCAGTTTTCGTTCTGACTGCATTAAGATTAGAAAGTTTAGACAGTTTTAATTTTGCTGTCCTATCTATGTTCCATCCGTAGTCTTTCTTTTATAGAGCTTTCTTAATAACATAGCTGTGGCATATTTACATTTTCAATTCAGACATTTTTAAAATCATTACATTTTTCAATGATATTCCTAAATTTTATGCAAATTATGTACGGTAACATGGGTACTGTAGATGGTTACTTTAACTTTCATTTGGTGTGAAAATTATAACTAACATTCGTACTGTTATGGAAATACATTACATCATATCAGAAATAGCATTTGCTGTTTAACAGTTATCTTTCAGTCACGGAAATTCAATAATCGTGGGATAGATAATTACATTGTCAAATTATTCTATTGAAAGAGGACAAAGTGACAAAAAGTGATTTCCGCTTGCCCCTCGGGTATCCCCTCGTTGATAAACTTTGCACCTTGTCTGACTGCAAGTTATAATTTAACTTAGGGTTTAACACGAAAATCCAGACAACGATGTTATTTACTAAACTGAGGCCACCTTTAACTAATTACTTAAAATGGGTTACCAATAAATGACGTTATCAAATGGATTTTGGTAATTATTTAGAATATTACATTTTGAGAAAGGCGATTTTGAATACCGCTGGGCTTGGGCATTTAACAGTATTTTATGAAAAATCAAAAGGTAAATCAAAATGCGATAACAAGGTTACGGAGTACCAACATGACCTGGGTGGATGCTGACAGTATTAGAGTGCGCAAATAAAGTCGATGATTATTCATAACACATGTACTACATGTAGCTATGTCGCAAATACATGTAAGCCTGCGATCCCCATAATATATTGGCATGGCTACGGATATAATAATTATATAAATGATATACTTATTATTGTTGTCAAAATTATAATGTTACATGTTACAAACGTCAACTCAAAAACCTGAGGCTAGACCCCCCAAAAATTAAGGCCATATCAATGTTACGACTTCTTGTTGGTTATGACAAAATGATACCATCTTTCAGACTCTGAGATTAGTATATTTTTCACCATTTGTCCTAAATGGATCAATATTTGTTATGATTATGATTCCAGGTCCTAAATTGAAACTGAAATATATCAAGGCGAAAAGTGGAGAAGATATTTTGTACATCCTTAGTCAAAAAAAGTATAGATTGATACAGCAATATCGAACGTTTGTTTTAAAATAGAACCATTTTCAATTCTCTTTTAAATAATTAATTTGTGAGCAAAAACATTGAAAATTCTACAATTCGTAGAACTATGGGCATTTTCAAAAAGTGTCCACCAGCAGCTCGTATCTCGGTCTTTTTATATACAAATTGAAAATAGTGATAGGTCTCAGAATTAATCGTCCGTTAATGTCAAGGAGGATTGGCTCCCACAGCGCAACATGGATATTCTGTCCCATATATGGACATGTCGTGATCCAAAATTCGTATTCAAACAGCCGCCATTTTGTTCACTTCAACATTTGGATCGTGAATTTTGGTCTAATTTTAACGAAAAATTCCCAAACTCACAATTCACATATTGCCAAAAAGGTAAGAAGATCAAATTAAACCTCATCGGGTGTAGTTCTCCTAATGAATCTAGATTTTCTAAGATATACACTCATTTAAACTCTCTAGTTATCTCACATCAAACTGCTGGCAGCTGTTAGTTATATATATAGCTCGTGGTAGATGTTGTTTCAAACTAAAACGATATGTTAGCCATCAATTCGTTAGATACATGCATTTATATGATTAGCAACTAACACAACAAATCGCGATGCCATCTAATTTGAGATAGCTTTATATAAGGTGTTTTACTCATTTAGACGTTCGACCTCATTGAACCATTTGCAAGCGGGTATGAAGCGCTTAGTGTTTTGGAAATAAGAAAAAAATGTTATATGTACCGTTGCTCATATATTGAAATATTTTGCGTTTTGAGCATTCAATACTGAATTCATCAAAAGCACAATTTTGTTGATGGGTCAAGATTCTTCTTCGTATAGATGTCACTTTACTACTTCTCTGAAGTGGGTTATTGCTCACGCAAGTCCTATTGTCTAAATATTGCTGTATTAAAAATCCAAATACACTACACTGTTCAAATTAATATCATATTTTCTCTTCATATAATTGTTACTTCAACATGTTTCAATTTTCAATATTAATATAGAGACTCAACTTAATATCGAACTCGAGTTTGTTTTCAATCGGCTAAGTCTACATTTTATATATATTGATTATAAAGCTGCCATCTTTCTAAAGCACAATGAGTAGGTTTCTCACTAGAATTTTTGACTCCGGTGACTCTCCGGAGTCTAATGTCTTCAGACCCTCTTGCCCCAGAGTTTAAAGGCAGAATCTGATCTATAGGGGGTGACAAAATTACAAGCAACATGTATAATTGACCTACCAATCTATTCCTTACAATATCAAATACAATATCTCCCAAAAGATTCACAATTTTATGTTATAAATTGGTGAAGTTATTGATGATTCAACGTGCAAAAATGAGTGAAAAATGTTTAAATTCTCCCAAATAATAAGAATGGTAACCATTTTTATAGAAAAATAATACATTATTGTAAAAATCTTTAGTTCTCTCTTTAATTTTCTGGAGTCTAAAGTGTTTTTCCAGAGTCTAATTTTATATTTTTGTCACAATATTTTTGGTAAAACTCTTGGGAAAATCATAAAACTAGATAAAAAAAATTGAAAAGTATACTAATAGGATATCTCTGATCTAAAATGGCCGGGAGAAGTACCGCGAAAAATCCTCTACATTTACTTCGCACATATTTGTGTTCTACTAATTTTTCTACTCATTCTAGATCTACATGAAAAATGAAATAGGTTATGCCACACAATGACTGTTTTATTCTTCAAAAACAATACAAATGAATTCATTATATGATTTATGTAGACTATATCTTTAAATTGAGTTGAGTTTCAAGTATATTCCTCGTTTCAAAGGAAAATTTTCTAATTAAAAACTGGTTTGTAGACTTCTTGATATTTACAATTCCAGGCATACAACACGGCGTCTGGCTTCTCGGCAACAGCAAAGTCCAGTCCCGTAATGAAAGCGTTAGTATAAGTAGGGCAAGTGTCCCCGATGCTACAGCTTCGCTGAACAGACGGAAAAGGTATGGTAGTCGGGAGGAGATTGGTCTCGGTTTGGTCGGTCGTGTCGTAGATGTAACGAATGTACGTCACCTCTCCGATGCACGAATTGATCACGTACAGACGGCCACATATCATGAAAGCATTCCCAGCATCTACTTTTGGGAAGTTGGTGTTGAACGACTCGATGACGACCAAGTTGACGTCGACGCGCGAAATTATAATATTGTGATTGTTGGATAAGTCGGAATGGATAACCCAGAGTCCGTACTCATCAACCTCGAAATCAACAAAACTTCCGTTACCCCACGCTGTACCGGAAACGTCATTTAGGTAACCCCATTGATATTCATCGTAGAGACTTTGGCCAAGGGTAGGAAGTTCAACCCAGGTGTACATACCGGTTGAGAGATCATACTTTCCCAGGTAACGTGAAGCGTACACCTGACAATAAAAGTTGTTGGAATATACGGTGTGACCTGTCCCCTCACAACTATACGGAAGGGTGATTGTCCTATTAAGGTTATTCGTTTGGAAATCATACTCGGAGTTATACTCGTCGAGTAGGTTATTGTTGGTCCCGTGCATCACCCAGACTTTGGTCCCACTGCCCGCTAGCTCTTCATCCTTCATCCAGGTGCCGAAGTTTCCTCCGATGTTATGAACAGACACAGAATATTCAATTGACATTAGGTTTCTCGGACACACACGATCTAGAAATAAAATGGGTTGCTCATTTAATAATGATACTCGCTCCTAGTTAAGATCAGGTCTGGGAATCTGACAAGGGTGGTGGGCATCTCAAAAGTCTCATTGTGAGTCCGATTCAACAAGGTGACCTTAAATTTCTGTTTAGATTAAATTGTTGACGTTCATGAGGAAAGAGGATTTAAAGACATATGGGAGTATCATAAGAGTGCACAAATGTTAATCGTTGAATCTCTCTATGGGAGGTTAAGATACACGTTTCTAAAAATTGTACGTGAACGGTTTAGAATTATTGTCCTCTTTGGATCAGTTCTCCCATTTGTAATGTTTATTTGGCCGATTGAGTAAAAAGGAATTCGGAAAATAATTGTAATTATGTCCCTGGAAAAGTGAATTGAGAGCGGGAATCCCTGGGTGTCGAAATATTACACGCTCGCGTACAGGTTCTCGTGTAACTTGACCTCCCTATTATGTTAACTGACTTACCTGAACAGTCCACGGCCGCAAGATAGTTGCATGTTCCCAAAATATCGTCAAAGTACAATTGTTCTACAAAAGCAAACATTAGAAAATTGCAATATGAAATCGCAAACACGGCGGAGCCCCAAATCCCAAAGAACAAAACACATAAATAAATATAAATAGTACTATCTTACAACATTATTTAGTTTCATTCAGATGGAGGACTGAGCATAGAAATATTCGGAATAATAAAGACATGTGTTTATAACAAACCCGCTCGGTGAAATTCCTCTCAAATATTTAACCGATGTTTAATATTATATAAGCTTAAAATATTATAAATGGCCAAATTCGCAAATATAGAAAACTAATCGAATAAACTAGACAACAGCAACGCCAAGGCGTGGCAAATCCTATCAAACGGCCTTGGCTATCCTCTTACAAAATAGCTTCACTACGATTTTAGTAACAGCAAACTTCATAAAACAAAATGGCCACTTTCTAGCAAAATTGTCAATACACAGTGTACCATGCTTATAAGTAGTCACATATCGAATATATACATGTATAAAACCGTTCTATTACTTTTGAGTTATAGTGGAAAATATAAAATAACACACGTAAAAAATCGTGGCCATACCAATGGCCATGTACTAGCCAAAGTGTCCTAAAACAGTATGACATGCTTATAAGTCATCATATATGAACAAAATCTCTCTAATTACATTTCGCGTTATCGCAAAAAATACATAATTAATGGTATGTGTACAATGTCGGCCATTTTCAAAATGGCCACCTAAAAGTCAGTGTCAAAAGACAGTGTGCCATGCTTATAAGTAATCAGATATTAAATAAGAACAAAATCGCTCCACTACTTTTCAAGTTATAGCAAAATTGTAACGCCCACCATTTTCCAAGATGGCTGACATGTGTTTCTGAAATGTTTACATTTCTGCCTGTATTAATGTCTTATCAAACTTTTTAATCTTGAAAACATATAAATATTACCGTTTTACATACATTTTGTATTATTGTAAACATAAATGACACATGTAAAGTGTCAAAAAGCCAAAGTGTCAAAAGACAGTGTGCCATGCAGTTTAAGTCATCACATATTAAATTTTAAGAACAAAAATATATTAAGAACAAAATCGCTCTCCTACATGTACTTTTGAAGTTATAGCAAAAATCATAAAATAACGTGTAACGGCCGCCATTTTCCAAGATGGCTGCCATGTGATTCCTTGACATCTACATTTCTACCATTATTAATGTCTTTTAACACGAAAACGTATAAATATTACAGTTTTGCATTTGTACCTAAATTACTGTAAAATCGGCACTAAAACAGCCGCCATTTTGAAAATCGACTTTCGAGCAGAACTTCTACTGACATTACATAGGGCACACGTGTATAAAATATGAACAATTACAAAATCGGGCCAGCGGTATTTGAGTTATCACCCGGATAGACGTACGGACAGACGGAGGCGTTCTCTATCCCTCCAAACTTAGTTGTGTTGATTAACTTATTTGACCTTCAAAAATATATCAACACTGACGTGTAGGCCTACGCAGGCATACGTATATTAGTCTGATAAAAGATTCGAGGAGATTATCGCATGGGTCTCTGCAATATGACAAACATTGTCGTAGTGGGATAAATTGTGAATATTGAGATATTTACCTGGTGAATTTGGGCATGTTCTCTCCAAAGCCACGTTACTCTGACACTCGTAGTACATTCTACAGTTAGGATGGGCAGTCAACGTCCCATTATCGGCCTGGTTACAGTCAGGAAACTGCTGTTGTGCGGAACATTCCGCAAAGAATACCCCTACAATATAAAATGCACAGGTTACAGTCAGGATACTGCTGTTGTGCGGAGCATTCCGCAAAGAATACTCCAAATATAAAAACGAACAGGTTACAGTCAGAATAAGTTGGGTGGAGCATTCCGCAAATGATACCCCTACAATATAAAAACGAACAGGTTACAGTCAAGATACTGCTGTTGGGCCGAACATTTTGTGCAGAATGGATGTTGTACCTTCGTGAAATATGTAAAGGTACTTCTACTTTTTCATCGTCACGACCCATGACAATTTCCAAATGAATGGTGTGTCGCTGAAGACGATTTCTTCAATTCATTCGAAATCAGTGGGAGCCCATTAGTTATGTTAGTCTTGCTTCAGGACCCTGAACACCCCTCCTTATATATTACTGTGTTGTGTTGATGTAGAAGGGAGGGGTCTACAGTGTTGAGGCAAGACTAGAACCCAGATGACCGTTATTTAAAAATATGGGTCGCAAGAATGCTTCATGATGAAATTACGATTACTTCTTTATATGACGTCATTGGCGATTAACTTAAATTATAGTTTTGTATTATATTACATATAAGGCAACTTTTGTATAAATGCTATTTGTATCAAATGAATTTGATAGTACGTTGGTTAGTATATATGATGACATGGGAGGCAAGAATTATTTTCACTTACCTGAAAGTATTATTAAAAAGTACATTTTAAATGTATCTCTCCACTTATGTTTTCGCTACCTTTACTTCTTCTTCCAACCAAAAGAACTAATACAAACATCCACGTGTCATGTGGTTTGTGGCTATGGGCAAATTTCATTAAAAATGATAAAAAAGTCAAAACTTTCTAATCTACAAGGTGAAATTATTTATGACATTAAATAAAAGCACAGGTGTGTCCGGTACACCTAATGGTACATTTTAAGTTTACGTACTTTAGAAGCTACTACTAACAGGGTGACCAACAACCATATCGTCAATCCTATGTGCACCACACCAGATAGACTGTTATCGTAGAACACCCTAGAGTCTCTCAGCCCTATACGTACAATTTTCTATTTCTATCTGTTATTTAGAAATTGAGAAGAAACGATGTCATCATCCTAGTAGTTGTTGAAAATCAAGTAAAAGACCAGGTGTATTATGGCAAGTGGTTTTGGATATATCTGTCATCATGAGTACTTTCTGGCCACAAATACAGTGAGTTTTATCAAAACAATATATGTTTGCCTTCAACTCTCTGAAAAAGCAAATGTATTTTTCAAAAAATGTTAGGTTCATTTTCTAAAAAGACAATCTTGTTTTCTCAACTAAAATCCATCAAAAGTTTCTTCTATACAACTATATTGACAACTTCTGAAAAGGGAATAGGTTTTGAAATGCGCTCGAGTTAAAAACCATAAATCCCATGTTATTTTCCATAGGGAAAACTCAATTGATAGAGAGATTTCGCACCTAGTGAAAGTACAACTTATAACGTATACTTATACTTATAGGTAAACGTACAAGGTGTTTCATAATGTGGGCATTTTGTCAGGAAAGATCTTCTCGGACTGTGATAAATACAGGTCAAAGGGATGCCATTTGTACTTTCTTGAATGGTAGCATGTTTAGTTGATCCAAATGTGTTTGTCTAGAATAAAATAGGCTCATATATAGTACATATATTATAGACCCATCTCTTTTTGGAGATGCTCGTTATGAAACACCCTGTATGTCATTTGTTGAGCTACTGAATGGGTCGTTTCCAGGAATTGCTAGAACCTACTGGTTTGATTGGTGTTTCAAATTGATGGTTAAAGTATTTGATTGGATACTGTTACCACTCAGCCAATCAATTTTAAAAAATGCTTGCGGTCAATTGTTCCACACACATGTAGGCAAATCTTTATACGGAAATCCAACTGTATCACGCCTGACCATCGACAAGGTACAGTCACGTGACATTGACAAAATATACCGTAGTACACCTTTGATGAACTATGTCATTTCCGCCATTTTAGATCGCCATTTTCTAGAATGAGGAAGCGAGGAAAGAACTAGCATTGATTTGATCAATATTGTGTCAGTTCATCATCAGGTAGTTGTTGCATTCGATTTGTAATTAAGTTGCAAATATGCATATCTACTGTAAATGATCCTCAGCAACTTCAATATCTTGTTATAGATCTACCCAGCACGTCAGGGATCTCTAAATCTTGACTGAATTTCTCAAAATTCTCTCTAATTTTTGTTTTGCTATGCAAATAACAGCCAAACTACGACTAACACAACTTAAGATAAGTATACAAATATACATGCAGAGTTAATGCAAAACCGCTTTTTACTTTGGATGCTACTACGAAAAATAGATAATGTATGTTGTTAACTCGAATGTATGTTGTCACCGGGCCTTACAGATCTCAATTCACAGTTAATTTTAGAGTGAATGAAATGCTATAATGTACGTGTAATAGAAGGAACATATTTGATAATAAAGTAATAATATATAATAGGCATATCAGATATATTTACCCTAATATTTTTTCCGTTAATCCATAAAATTGTCATTGATATGATTAAATGTCAATGTTACTAATTCTTTTTTTGTGTTCCATACCTGGCTTTTGAACTTCTGCACTTTCCAGATATACAGTGTCCCAAAGTATGCCCCCCTCCCTAGGCAGCCATATACCAATGTCTCCATAGTATGTGTCATATATCATTTTAAGCTTATCCAAAGTTACATTGATTTGCCAAATATGATGGTTCAAATGGTAAAAAGTAACAGGCATTTCAAAAATTAGCGTTTTGTCAAAAAGATCATTTCGGTATCCTGGAAACAGCCCTGACCCTGTGACAGAAAATATGGATGCCATTCTCGAAGATAGGATGGCTATTGAGTTCTAAAAAGATGACGTTTAGGGTAGATACTCCAAGGAAACTCTTCTTATGCCTTAAAAAGGTTTCATGAGGATTACAAAACGCCATATCCCTATTTGAAGCCTGTTTAAGGTCATATATGGAAAGTATTGCTGCCGTTAACATGGCGGCTAAGGAGACACACCGACTATTGTTTTGGTGTAAAACTGACTTTAATTTTGGCCAAACACTAACTTTTGTATTCCTGTAACTTTTTCCATTTGTGAGTTGAACCATGATACTCGGCAAATTAATATAACTTTGGATGAGCTTTAAAATGATATATGACACATATTATGGAGACATTGGTATATGTCTGCCTATGGGGCCCATACATTCGGGACACCCTATAGCATAAATTTCATCTTGCTAGTATAGATCTCTATGAACTCCTTGAGATTATTAAAATTCATAAAAGTGCAACTAAACATAACGTAAAGTACCGACGCCGAGTGGCCAAAAAGGTCGGAAGATATCACGCCATGGTCACATATTAATCACCATATTAACACTTTCATAAAATAAAATAGCACTCAACGAAAAAATCACGTTTACCTGTTTATCTGTACTAGGGATACAGGAGCGTGTTCGTTGAACATCACTTGTTACGCATAAAACCCTTAATGCATTTTGAAATTAAATCATTGCAATGTTTAATATTATAACTCATGAATTTCAATTACAGGGACAACATAAACTGTGAGTTGACAACGTACATTTCTGATTTTTTAAATTATACCAAATGCATGAATATTTATTAAATCTTAACCCGTCTTAAATTGTGCAGTTTAGAGAAACACATTCTCATTAAAATATTCGACACTCCGAGACGTCAGGGGAGAAAATTATCAAAGGAAATGTGTAAAAAACAACATTTTTCCAACCGAACAATTGTATGGGTAGACGTATAACGAAAAAAATCGAGCACTGCTCGAAGATCTTTTAACGTTATTAGAAAAATAAATGTCTTTGAAATCGAATACACGCGAAATCAAACAGGAAATCCTTTTTGTATTCCTCAAATTTATTTTTGAAAACCTGCATCAAACCTACATCATAGTCTTTGCTTAAAATCAGTTAATAGTGACATTGTACATCAAAAGTGTACTACGGCATATTTTGTCACGGTCACGTGACTGTACCTTGTCGATGGTTAGGCGTGTGTATACGTTATCATCTACGTAAATATACCGTTTTGTAAGTTCATCGAACTTATTCTGATCATGAAAACATTGAAATAATCAACTTGTTTATGTAATGACTCACTTTAAAGAATCTTGACTCACTTTAAAGGATGTGTTTATAATACACTACAACTACAAGGACACGGGAGCAAGCATTTAATTATAATGTGCATAATCTACACGTGCAGATGACAGTGCATTCACAATCTCTAGTTGATGGAGCTTTTCTATAACGGGAATAGTTATGTTCCATTAAGTACAATTTAAAATTGATTTTAGTAAATATAATAGTTCGACATGACCCTTTAAAGTATACGTATACGTATAAGTTGTACTTTCACTTATGTGCGAAATCTCTGATATCTTCAAAACTGAACTTATAGACTATTCTACTTTTGAAGAAGTGTTAGACCCCTTGTTGAATAATCTATTCCTGAAAGATCCTCTTTTCAGTACATAGGTTCAACATTTTGAAAACTTGTTGACAAGGGGTCCCTGTTCAAACTCCCGATTGATATTTTTATCGATGATGGGTTCTTCACTTGAAAGAAAACATTTTGTTTTAATAAAATTAAAAAAAACTGAATTTATGGCCAGAAATTATTCAAGATAGGACCATCTAAAATCACTTGCCATACTTCACTCGTTTTTTCGTAAACGGAAATAAAAAACTTTTTTAGATTAAAACTGTGCTTATGGAGATTCCTATAGAAACTGATTTTCTCCTCAAGCGCTCAAAGCATGTTTAACAAGAGTTAGGAAGTCGATTTTCTGATAAATACTCATTAGGCATTACATAGACAGGTATTAAGATGCATACATCGGCATTTGGTTGGTTAAAATGAAATCTATTTACACAGGCTGGTATCGAAATATTTGTCCGCTGTGACGGAGCATGCTATTTTTCATAAAAACACTAAGAATACTTCACGATTTATTTTTTAACTAATATGTTTCGTTATACCATACAAAATTACTTACTCCATGCAATGGATATATCATTTGCGGGTAACTTTCACTTCTGTTTGAAGTCCAATTACGCTTGGAAGAAAAGCTATTGAAAATGGCGCCGGAGTATCATACTTCAAAATGTACCATTTCTTGTTTAACTTTCTAATGGCACGATATAGTGACACGATAATATTTACACATGGTTTCAGCATAACTATGAAGGTATAAATGAGATGTTGATGTATTTGGTCTTTTTAATTCTTTTATAAAAAATGTTGTTTAATTTTTTTGTCCGCTGTGACGGAGCAGTTGCAAATATGAACTTTGAAAATGCTCCGTCACAGCGGACAAAAAATATTAATATTATTTTTTATAAAAAAATTTAAAAGACCCAATGCATTAATATCTCATTAATACATTCAGAGTTATGCTGAAAACATATGTTAATATTATCGTGTCACTATATCATGCCATTAAAAAGTTAAAAAAGAAATGGTACGTTTTAGAGTTTGATACTCTGGCGCCGTTTTCAATAGATTTTACTCCTAGCGTTATTGGACTTCAAACAGAAGTGGAGGTTACACGCAAATGATATATCCATTGCACGGAGTAAGTAATTATCTTTGATATAACGAAACATATGAGTTAAAAAATAAATCGTGAAGCATTCTTAGTGTGTTTATGAAAAATAGCATGCTCCGTCACAGCGGACAAATCTTTCGATACCAGCCTATGATTTAGAGCACATATGGGCATCAATGAGAATGGAATTGTTATGGCTGTTTCAGATTTCTCAACATGTTTATCATATTTTTCAAAAGTTCTTTTCAAATAGAGTCTTTTCCAAATAGCTTTGAAATCTCGTTAAAGTGTAGTTTGTAATGAGATTTTAGGAGATGATTTGATGGCATATTTGAATTCTGCGCGTTATTTTCTATCAAAATAACTGATTTACACTTATCTACCTTTAATCAAATTCAAAAGATTTTCAAGTTTTCTGAAAAAGGTCGGGTAAAATTCCCATGTACTGGAGATCCGCACGATTACGCTGGTTACCGAAACAGTTCGTTTCGGTAACAAAATGTCGGAACGTCGAAGGTACGATTTTTCTTTTTTGCTTATTTCGTTCGTTGTAGGCAGAATCCCCACATTTTTTCTCACAAGCATGTATCAGTATCATATATTTTGTAAAAGGTACATGTTTGCGAAAAAAATAGCTCAGGAGAGGAGACAACAGAATCGTCGATTTAATTCCTCACTTAAGTAACATAAACGGTAAAGGTTAAAAGTGCAGATCTTAACTGTTTTTCGAAATACCGTTTCGGTAACTTAAGTGAGGGATTAAATCGACGATTCCGTAGTCTTCTGAACTATTTGTTCGCAAATGTGTACATCTTAATCATATGATACTGATACACGTTTGTAAATATCGTTGGGATTCTACCTACAACGGGTGAAATAAGAAAAATCTTGCCTTCGACGTTCCAACATTTTGTTACCGAAACTGTTCCAGCGTGATCGAGTGGATCACCAGTGCATGGACACAATGTTGAAAAACCTTTAAAAGTTCATTTACTCTTATGAGGATCACAATTGTAACGGGTAATCACAATCCACATCATGTCATGTTAATAAGATCATATAGTTACATTCCAATGGTGTTCTAAGTTGATCTAAATGGAATTACTTGTTAACAGCCATGATGCCATCTTTTTTCCATTTATATGGAAAATGTTCAATTTGCAGTCCAAACGTGTTTACCAAGTTTCACAGGTTTGGAAAATGTTTTGAAGCATAGCACTGATTTAGACAATTTACTGACACACATTTAGCAATTGAGAGTTTGGTATGGGTATTTGTATATATAAATGTGTAGTGCCTTTCAGTACAGAATGGTTATCAAATTGTGCAAGTTAGAACAAGGCTGTGTCGTGCGCTCGGGGAAATAATTAGACATAATTTTTCAATTTAATACACCTACTAAATGCCAGAATGATTTGTAAGGATTATTAGACGTTTTCAGCTTTTAGATTTTGTGGCCATTTTCGACCCATTGGCTATAATATACTACCCTTACTAAAACATTGCGCTAGAACTCATTAATATGCAGTGGAGTGTTTACATATTAATAGAATAACTGAATATGTGATAAAAATGTCATGTTATGGTAGTTCAGTGGTAGCCATTGAAACCAATCAATCACACCCTTCAGAATTCAGATTTCAATTTTCAGGCCATTTTTTCAGGAATGTTTTGTGCATATTTTAGCACCAAATGTGTTGGGACTTAGATGTGAATAGAAAACTTCTACAATCTAGTAGCAACGGCCTTATGTAAAGATCAGTCCATAGAATCTCAGTTTAGCTTTAACATGTATTACCTTTAGATTTTGGCTGAGAACACACAAAATTCAACGGATTATATTTCTTTTCACACTGCTTTATTTCAATGATAATGTACATAGTGGCTGTGTGTGATATTTTTTTTAATTTAGTAGAGTCTCTATGGCGTTTAGATTTATCCGACCTTTTGTGCCAATTCACGTGCCTTAACTTTGTCGAACTTTGCGATCCTGGCTTGTGATTTAGATCCCATAATGCCACCACCCCAGTGTTTTCGGATCTGAAAGTACAAAGTAACAAACGTTTTAGAGTAAATTACACTTGGTTAATTATCTCCATGATATTGAACTAGACAACAGCAACGCCAAAGCGTAGCAAATCCCATCAAACAGCCATGGCTGGCATTTTTACAAATAAAGTATACTATAGGGTCAAACGGTTCAAAATTCCAACGGTTCGGTTAGGTCACGGTTTTTAGGTTCACGGTTCGGTTCTTTCACGGTTCTCGCGGGTCTCGTAAAATGGCAATATTTCCTTATAAAATAGTAAAGACAGCTCATAAAGAAACAGGTTTTAGCTGTCTATCTAGCCTTGCCCATGTTGGCCACTTTCGATCCTGGTCCCACTATCCTTTTTTATTAAATTGACTTGACAAAGCAAACTGAGTTTATTGGCCTAGTGGCCAACTTTAAATTTTAAACTTTAGATTTTTCTGTCCTTGATTGTATTAAGAGCTGAGATCTACATGTAGCACAAGCAGTAACATAGCCCCGGGAACATGCATATAAAGATCGAGTCGAATACACCAAGTAAAGAGATCTCAGTCTTTACTTGGTGTATTCAACTCATCTTTTTTATTATACATTTTCCCAGACCTATGTCTTAACTTAACTTGAGGAAAAAATTTAGCCTAAGAAAATATTTTTCTCACCGTGAAGATACTTAATGATCTCCCAACAGATTCTGCATATTGATACATTGTCCTCTGATTACCCATTCCAAACGTTGCTTTTGTATTTCAATAATTGAGATTTAATCTCGCAATTCTTGTAGTCTGTCAAAGCAGTCATGCTGAATCAGCACAGATGGCGCTGCGATTGTGCGGGAGATTTAAACACAAATATGTTTCAAGTTTTTAACAAAGACATTAGTAATGTTATAATTTCTGTAATTGTAGTGTTTTTTAAATAATATTGATTAAAAACAAACTTATTATAACAGACAAAACACCTCCACGAAGCAAAATTAATTATACTATGAATAGCGTAATCTGGCGAGACCAACTTCCGGTCTATTTAAATGTCACAAAAATGTAAACAATTACTTGTCTATCGATTTGTGAGCGATCTGTTTCACATCTAAGGTAGGAATTGAATGTTTTCTATTGCTATAAACATGTTTTTAAGGAATATATTCATGAAGAATAAGTTCATGTCGAACGAAAGAGAGAATATTGAAGACTAAAAAATTTTATTTTTCAATTTTTCCTCGAACCGTGGATGAACCGAACCGAATCTCATATTTATGAACCGAAAATACCGTCCTAGCATCATTAACCGCGGTTAACCGTTTGACCCCTACATTATAGCAAAAATGGCAGCCATTTTTCAAAATGACCATTTTCTACCACAAGTGTCATTAGACAGTGTGCCATGCTTATAGTATTCACATACCAAATATGAACAGAATCGCTCCACTACTTTTCGAGTTCTACTAAAAGAGGATAAAATGGTGGCCATTTTGAAAAGTGGTCATCTTCTACCAACAGTGTCATTAGACAGTGTGCCATGCTTATAGTATCCAAATACCAAATATGAACAAAATGGCTCCACTACTTTTCAATTATAGTAAAATACATTATAATTGCGGCCATTTTTTAAAATGACCGCCTTCTACTAAAAGTGTCATTAGACAGTGTGCCATGCTTAGAGTATTCACATACAAAATATGGACAAAATCACTCCACTACTTTTCGAGTTACAGCAAAAATCGTAAAATAGTGAGTAAAGGCCGCCATTTTTCAAGATGGCTGCTATGTACTTCTTAAAGATCTACATTTCTAGGTTTATTTGTTATATATAATTTTTTTTTACATTTAAACATATTGCTATTATAGTTTTACATATTGTACCTAAATTACTGTAAAATCGACACTAAAATGGCCATCATTTTTGAATGAGCGGCCATTTTGAAAATTGGCTTTCCAGCAGAACTTCTACCTCCATAGGGTATATGTTTACAAAAATCGGGCCAACGGTATTTGAGTTATTGCCCGGACGGACGGACGTACGTATGTACGGACGGAGGCGTTCTCTATATCCCTCCGAACTTTTGTTCGATGGGATAACAAATGATGCATTCTGCCCAATAGTTGTTTATTCAAAATCTACAATTGATTGAAGTCAGATAAAAATCCATTTTAAAACAGTTAAAAAATTGGGAAAAATGAAAATATGATCATAGTAACACAAGCACCTGATGAAATATAAATAAATGTATATAGATATCTTTTGGAAAGGGGTAATCATATTATTAGATATGAAGATTCAGTCAAATTATTTGATTATGAAAATCTGTTAGCTCAGACATCCAAGGAAATGCCGTCTTTGAGAAGTGAATCTCTCAGGTTGGAAACCACGAATGCTGGAGCAAAGTCTATCATCATCACTAACAGAGAGGCATTCAGTAGAATGAAAAAATACTTCACAACATGATTTAATATTAACATTTTCTAGTTAAACAGGGCTAGATAGTGAAATCAAGAAACAAGGTCAAAAAAAAGATACATGACATATATTCAATGAAACATAATTACTCTAGGTTGCAAAACAATCTCAAATAAAAATTCCCCGATTACAGCAGGAAATTCCCTGACCAAATAAATTGTTTTAAGTACGCAAAATTTAAGTTTACTCAGTTCATTTATATGATTTTGGTACAACTTATTTAGTTTTTGAAAGTTCATCTTTTAAATCTGTGGTCCAATTTTTCAATTCTTGTCATCTTGTAGTTCCTGTAGATGATATCTTTATACCCAAAAATTATCTTAAACAGTGTCATACCATATTAATCAATTTTGCTTTGTAATTTTATCAATAAACTAAGAAGCAACTCACCTCATCAGCTCTTTCATTGAAGTTAGTCTTTACAGATTCAACAAGTTTGTTGAGAGCTGATCGGTCCTCTCTGGAATTTTAGAAAAGTCATGAAGTGTTAATACATTACATTTTTACTGTTTTACAACATAACTTTCTTGGGATTCAATTCACCTTTCACTTTATTTGGTTCATCTGTTTCACTCAATAAAACTTTTGATTTTTCCATGCACTGTGGTCATCAGAACAAATGCACATACTGTACTCAAGAGATTTGTCGAAGTTGTAATAACCTGGAATTCAGATTAGTGGTGGGACTCGCCACCAAAATCTCTACTGGAGTAGTAGAATGATAAATTTGACAATCAAGTCGACGATTTTGGCGATTATTCTTTTAAAAAATTGAAAATCAAGGCATTTGTCACTACTTACATCAACTTTTGGTTTAATGACCGCATGATGCAATGATGTAGTTCTGAATGGATTGAGTTCCGTTTTGGATGTTTTAGACTCACATTTACAGTATATTAGCAATGATATAAGCCTTTTATGGTGTTATCAATATTGGGCAATAAATGGGATAATAGTAACAGTGTCTCTTTTACATCGACTTACTTGTATTAGATCAAACAAACCAAAAAATGACTATGTAATATGCCATTGACTTAGATATAGTAATTGAAAATCTTATCCAATATGATATTGGGCAGGTATGATTACTGTATACAAGGTAACTTAGTTTACAAAACTTGAAAATTTCAACTTGTGAAATCTGTAAAATCTAATAGCCGTGAAATTGTGATTTCTCAAAATTCACAAAATCAAAACTTGTGGAATATACTGGGAGAAGAGTATTCTTTAGTATTTACTTACGAGTTGACTTGGGCCAAAGCAAGGCAGGTGGCTGTTTTTCGTCCAACAACACGTCCGAGTCTGGCTTTGCCTTTTACAATACAGTATGGGACACCCATCTTCCTGCATAGAGCAGGCAAAAAGAGAACAATCTGGAAAAATAACAAATATTTAAATGGTTTTCAAATACTTTCACTTTCTTAACATACTTTAGACTTTAGGATTTAATATGGCAATAGCCATTCATTATTTCAATTTGAAGTCTCCTATCGTCACACTGGTGATCCGCTCAATTACGCTGGTTACCGAAACGATTTGTTTCGGTAACAAAATGTCGGAACATCGAAGGAATGATTTTTCTTTTTTCCTTATTTCACGCGTTGTAGGCAGAATCCCCACGACATTTTTTCACACAAATTGTCGACATATTGTGTTTTAAAGCAATGTGCAGATTTAAGTGTTATATAATAAACACAAATCAGAATAGTAAAAATCTGTTAGCTCAGACATCCAAGGAAATGCCGTCTTTGAGAAGTGAATCTCTTAGGTTGGAAACCACGAATGCTGGAGCAAAGTCTATCATCATCACTAACAGACCTTATCACACATTAATATATAATTTGAGCATGTATGATTATATATTCAAAAGGTCCAAATTAAGTATCAGGTTACCAAATAACATTGCGAAACTCAAAATTGAAAGGGGTAACAAATACGAAGATTCCAACCTACATAAAAGTCCTCAACTTACTTCAATAGGATCAACATCATGAGCGATGCAAACCAATTGTGCTTTTTTCTGTTCAATGAGTGTGGTGACAGTATTCACTCCTGATCGGACACATGGAGGCCTCTTGGTTGGCTCATCATCTTTGCCTTTCACACGCTCTTCAGCTCTCTTGGCTAGTCTCTGTTTTTTGGCCTGTTTGGTCTCTGGTTTGTATTTATCCATAAGACGGAACATGTTAGTGGCTATAAAACAAAAATATTAATTGCTTCAAAGTAATCGCGGAAGAAATATATGACTATAAATGCAATTAACATATGTAAAAAAAATATATATTCAACATTCCTTCATGAAAAAGAAGTATTCGAGAACTCAATCTCTCAGGTTGGAAACCACGAATGCTGGAGCAAAGTCTATCATCATTACTAACAGAATAAAATAATAAAAAAGGTGCCAGCTTGCCAACACGTTCATCAGCATAAGATGACAATATGACATTTTTTCTACCCAGGGGTTTCACTAGCAGCAGGCAACAGGCGATTTTCACAAAACTGCCTCTTATTTTTAGGGACTTTTCCATGTTAAATTCATGATTTCCATTAATTTTTACCTGTTTGTCGGTCTAGTGTAGTTCTAAACTGGTTGATTGTTGGGGGGACCTTCAATCTCTTGACCAAGACAGCCTTTTGACGTTGCAGTCTGATGTATTTTGGCCATTTCACAAAACGTCTCAAGTCACGCTTTGGCTGGATGTCTTGGCCTGAAAATGTAATTTTCTTCTTCAGCAAGTATTCATATATATTCTATAGTATTAAACTTGTAGCAATGATTATTTTTATTTTTCATCCTTCAAGCTAAGCTAAGGTAGAGGATTCTTGTGAAAGTTAAAAATTTGCCTGGGGTGGTTACCAATTTCCAGCGACAAGGACAAAATCTTGAATATTCTAGGACTTCTTATTTGTTAGCAATAAAATATTTGCAATTGTTGCTCAGAGATCTTAGTGGTAGATTGCTTTACATCAGCAAATCTCAGATAGCAAATATTGTCATCATCATTACAACAATGCAAATCGTAAAATTTCTAGATATTCCTCATTTTTACGAATCTAACTTGTGATGCTGGAGGCAAATATCCCAAAACTTTATGTGAGTGGGTATGACAAAAAAACAATTTTGCACTTTCTACCATTTTGATGACCATGTGCTTTTTTCAGATGAATGTAACTCATTCAAAACACATTCTAAATCTTTCGTTCTTGCACAAAAGGTGCTTTAGTATACCGCGATTATAATTGAGCATTAATTTTTCTTTAGAATGTATAAATAACAACTAGAAAATTGAGCGGTCTTCTTTTAAAAATTGCAAAAAATCTCATGTAGATCTGCCTTACCCAGAACTAAAAATAATAAAAAATATGGCGTTACTGATTACTTGGGGGGACAATGTGAATCCATCTGAAACTACAAACGTTTTCATACTTGAAAATAAAGCCAATGCTGATCCTGTACGAGAAAAAGATTTTAAAAATATAACTTACCAATTCCAAAGTTCTTTGGTCTTCTCTCAAAGAGAGGGTTAACAACCTTCTTTGGTTCAACCTTCTTGGCAGCAAGAGGGGCAGCTGCAACCTTCTTCTTACCCTTCTTTTTGACAACCTTGAAAACACAAGTTGAAATGCAAATCGTTTGTCACAAAAAACATGAACCTAGAAAGTGCAATATTAATACAGCACTGCTGAACGGACTGAGAATCTGTGATCTATTCCATCTTTAGTCTAATCCATCTTTCCCAGATGTCGAAAATCAACGAGAAAAAATATTAAAATTACATGCCCAAATATTCAGTCTAAAAACCTTAGTTCTATCAAGGATATTGTCATAAGTAATAGTTGTATAGCAAGGAAATGTACCATTGAAACAAATTATGCCATTTAAACAATAGAGTGATATACGATGAGGAAGATAATCGAAGGATTGATGACGATTTCGAGGACGAAATCCTACCATTTTGAATAGACCGGAAAAAGGAAGTACCGTTGCATTGTGGGTCCGGAAGTAAATTTTTCCAAAAAGGTACTTTTCATTTGTAGCGTTTGTTTTGGCTTTACTGCCCTATCTTCTTTTAATACCGTTTTGTTGCATGCATGCACATTTTGTAGACATGATGTTTTAAAATTGTAAACGTTCTGCACCTATATGTAGGCTACTGAATCTATTTCAATGTTTATTTCCGACTCAAAATTTGAGACTCAGTCAGTGTCACAAACATAGGCCCCGGGAACATGTATAAAATAGCGAGTCGACATCTGTATTACTACTTCTTGTCGACTCGCTATTTTATACATGTTCCCGGGGCCTATGGTCACAAACTCCCATGCACTCCCATTTACTCGAGTCTCCGACACTGTGGCCGAAGAATAAGGTAACACTCAGTCAGTGTCACTCACACGGGAATTTGTCTAGAAGGAAAAAGAAGTCAATAGAGCAAGCCTTGACTCAAATAAGCATAGGATACTAAAACCCTGTGGTCACTCAATCTCAGTTTCAGTCTCAGTCTCACGTTTTTTTGTAAAAAATCGGTTGATCGGGTAGCCAGATGACCGGATTCGTAACGTTTCTAGCAGGGTTACCAACAGTGAATTGACTTGATAGCCCTTGCCTCCCAAGTGTATAGAATAACAAGAATCTATATAAGAAAATGAGCACTTCTTTAAATAATTGGCTTCGGGTACTTTATCAATATCAGAAGAAACTAAATGGTTACCTGGTTATACAAGATATCAACTGAATTAACCTGAAATTGACTGAGTCCAATAATATCTGACTCTAATACAAATGACAATACATGTACCTATTAAGTTGGTCTATACCGTTGCATTGTGGGTCCGGAAGTAAATTTTTCCAAAAAGGTACTTTTCATTTGTAGCGTTTGTTTTGGCTTTACTGCCCTATCTTCTTTTAATACCGTTTTGTTGCATGCATGCACATTTTGTAGACATGATGTTTTAAAATTGTAAACGTTCTGCACCTATATGTAGGCTACTGAATCTATTTCAATGTTTATTTCCGACTCAAAATTTGAGACTCAGTCAGTGTCACAAACATAGGCCCCGGGAACATGTATAAAATAGCGAGTCGACATCTGTATTACTACTTCTTGTCGACTCGCTATTTTATACATGTTCCCGGGGCCTATGGTCACAAACTCCCATGCACTCCCATTTACTCGAGTCTCCGACACTGTGACACTGTGGCCGAAGAATAAGGTAACACTCAGTCAGTGTCACTCACACGGGAATTTGTCTAGAAGGAAAAAGAAGTCAATAGAGCAAGCCTTGACTCAAATAAGCATAGGATACTAAAACCCTGTGGTCACTCAATCTCAGTTTCAGTCTCAGTCTCACGTTTTTTTGTAAAAAATCGGGTGATCGGGTAGCCAGATGACCGGATTCGTAACGTTTCTAGCAGGGTTACCAACAGTGAATTGACTTGATAGCCCTTGCCTCCCAAGTGTATAGAATAACAAGAATCTATATAAGAAAATGAGCACTTCTTTAAATAATTGGCTTCGGGTACTTTATCAATATCAGAAGAAACTAAATGGTTACCTGGTTATACAAGATATCAACTGAATTAACCTGAAATTGACTGAGTCCAATAATATCTGACTCTAATACAAATGACAATACATGTACCTATTAAGTTGGTCTATATTTGATATAAAGAATACTCCTGTGTATGAACTGTACAGATCTAGACCCAGACACCATATAAGATTCATCCTTATGAAAACTGAAATTGATCTGAAAGATTTCCACACGGATGTATTTAAACGATAATTGCCGTTTTTATCTGTCAATCAATGTATGATTAATGAAGTACAACGTTATTTGCTTAATCTATTGCCTGAGTGATTGACGTGACATTGATGATTGTCTGTTTTGCAAGTTGGTTGGTTTATTGGAAGATGATTGAGTTGGTTGCTTGGTTGGTTGAGGTTGCGGGGTAGGTTGTTGGATGGCTGGATGGCTGGTAGTTTGAGTTTGAGGTCAATTGGGTGGTTAGTTGCTTGGATTGTTCATTGGGTTGGGGTGTTAGAAAGGTACCCAGTTACTCAGTCGCCCGGTTTTTTACACAAACCCCAGTCTCACTCACTGAGTCACTCTCACAATTCATGACGAGTAAGTGAAGATTACAATGTAGATCTAGCCTATGATTTACCTCTTTCAAAGTCTGTCTGATCTGTAAACAACACCCTTTGCGTGCACCCCATCACCTGCTAGATAATCGTAACAGCTGAAAGTGGAAAAACAATAGAAAGAAAAACTGAAATCAGCTGCTTACTTTATATCTCTAAATGTTTCTCACATCTCTGGGCGTTGTTTGTGAAACTATGGAAGTTATCAGCTGCCGGGAGTACAGTATTTATCCAAGACGAAAAATGCAATATCTCACTTGCGATACATCCTGTTTTAAGGCTAATAAAATTAACATTCTCACAAATATTTTTGCATAATTTTAAAATGATATATGTTTTTTTCAATATAATATTGATCTGATTCTTTGATTGCTTATATTTAAGGTTTGATAGACTTGCATTTTCCTTGCCTTGCCTTGTGGGTCCCTTGTAGTCAAAATTGTGATTAGGTTCGTTTGACTCTTTAAAATTCATTTTCAAATTGACTGTATATGTTTATTCTTTGTTTGGTGCCCTTGGGTAGGAGAATAAAATCAGGTGTTAAGCAACTGACTTTAATGAATAAATATTAGATTTAGTTCTTACAACTGTATACATTATTAGGCTTATAATTTCAGACTTTGGGGGAACATTTAAAAAATATGGCCCAGCAAGCTGGACAGAGAGCTCTTCCACAGAGTAAAGAAGCTTTGTTGAAATCGTACACCAAAAGACTCAAAGATGACATCAAATCCATGACGGATAATTATACAGAAATTATTAAACTCGCCAAGGTAAGTCAGATTCATATACCAGGTTCATACACCAGCTGGAAAATGTATATATGTTTCCATTTAAAAAAGGTAATGTAGTGAAGAGAAATACCGTATGTTAATTCTAGATTTTACATTTTTGTGTTGATGTCAGAAGATGCATATGTTTTGGTCACTAATACAATGTACAGATGTATCTTTGAAAAGATAACAAATGCATTAATTCATATCAATTTAACTGGTTTTGTAATGGGCAACATTAAGGTATTTTCATATCTTTAGAAAATTTTATAGCTTCCTAATCAGAGTCAAATGTTATTTTCAGGTACACATAGCCCAACTCATTCTCGTACATGGTCTGCATCTTTCAGTTTTGAATGAATAGTGCATAAATATCACTAGATTTTTAGTTAAGGGTTTATATACATGTATTCAGAAATTCTTGATAAAAAAGCTGAAAAATTGGTGGCCCACATTTTTGTACTTTTAAAGGTGGGTCAACAAATTTACATGGGACTACAATTAGGGAGTCATTAAAATTCTGAGCATATAGAATTACCTAAAGAGTCACAAAAATGGGTTTATAAAGTTCCATTCCATGGTGCTCACTATAAATGTTCACTTTCATTAAAGTAGTCTTGATGGAATAAAAATATGAGCTGACATTGTTATTATGTCACCGCCACAAGTCGTGATATATTGGTATAGTCTACAACTTTTCTGTGAACAGTGTTCGGGGGGTAGGCATCTGTAACAAATGACAGGTGGTGACATTTTTGCATATTAGTGTTATCATTGTTATATTGCAATAAGTAAACAGTGTTTTTCACTGCCAATGCCATCGTTAATAACGGGAGAAAGGAAGGATCTGATCATTTAAATTGTTCTTGTAAATAAAGAATCATCTAGCATTTCATGAATCTCTTATTTGTAGCTTGAAGAAGAGAATTCCCAAATGTGGAAATCAACACAGAGTGAACAGGACAACTATGAAATGCAAGTCAGGGCAGCAAACATGGTAAGAAGGGAAAATTAGGAGCAGTTTATTGAATCAATCAGCAGGCCCGTAGCCAGGGGGTTCGATGGGTTCGAGCGAACCCCCCCCCCCTGGCCAAAAAATCTTTCAAAATTATGCAGTTTTTCACCATTCTGAGCACTTTTTAAGTGGTTTTGGACATTTTTGGACCAAAATTGTCACAAGTGAACCCCCCTGGAATTTTTCAAAAAGTGAACCCCCTTGGCAAATCCTGGCTACGGGCATGATCAGTATGTTCTTATGTCAAATCATGGAAGAAATAAGTATAGAAAATAAAAATGTTGAAATGTGCAACTAAAAAACTGTCATTTTAATAGAGATGAGTTGAGGATAACTAAAAAAAAATGTCACAGTATTACAAAATATTTCGCCTGCTGCATCATTTTATTTTTATTTTATTTATTTTTTTTATTAATTTATTGCAATCACTTTTAGATTGTTAGGCTTGTTACTGACTTGACCTTCTAGTCTATTATACTATATTTGCTTAACATCTTATGTTCCAGGTTCGAGCGGGTGAATCTCTAATGAAACTAGTAGCAGATCTGAAGCAGTTCCTCATTCTAAATGACTTCCCAACAGTGAATGAATCCATCTTATACAATACAAATATGTTCAACAACAACATTCAAGACTGTGATAACAAACTTAATGCACTCCGGACTGACATAAGTGCTGATTTGTATGAACTGGAGGAAGAGTATTATAATTCACAATATAAATGAAAGCATAATTTTTCATACTTATAGTTTGGTTGTGGAGATAGGTATCTAAGATGGAATGAAGTGGAACCAAGGACTTAATGATTAATACATCATATCAAAATGGGTTAAATATTTAAAACATACTCCAGGAGTTTACAGTCTATGTGCTTACAAAGCATCTGTGTGATTGAGCAATAATACCTCAGTAAAGGTATTTAAGTCCTCTGGAGCCTGTTTCTCAAAAATGTAGTCAATTATGATTTGCGGATTGACGATTTGTTTAACCTTTAAATGGTCAGGGGTTAGGCTATCGAGAAGTACACCAACGATTAGGGGTGGGTGCAGATCTGCCCCCCTATAATCTCGGAAACGATCAATCAGGAGGCTGTATTAGGTATCATTGGAAAGTTTATTCAATTCCCATTATTTTACGCTTACTCATAACTATATTGAGCCATTATTGATGAGGAAATTCATTTTCTAATAACATAGGAGTTTATTGTTTCAAGTCAAAACAACTGACTACAATTTTGGTATTTCAGTAACTTTGGCAAGCTCTAACTAACCTCCTAGAGTCACAATTTTTCGCTTAAACATGCCATTGTTCAATTTTTAGAAAAGTCAGAAAATTTCAGATCAAAAGACAAACTACGAAAAAAGTTATCAAAATGCCTTGGGTGGGGGACAGATATGCTCCCCCCCCTAAACGTTTAAGGGATAAAACATTCTTGATATAGCGACCGTATGAAGCCAGGGATTTTCACAGAATAGAAATTTGCCCCTCTCCTATACTGCTACCCCCTCTATGATGTAATTGTTTGCCTATTTAAAATACATTATCTGTTAAAACCTTCAAGCACTGAACTCATTGTCAATGCTTTGTTTGTAAGGGGGTCTAACCACAAATGATTCCCAGAAACGCTTGTTTTCTCCTTTCACAACAGTAAATTAACGCCTGTATTTTGTATTTTTATGCGCGTTATTCACGTCTACATTAACAAATGGTTACAATGAAATGATTCAGGTATATCTGATAATCTGACCCTTCATTGGTACAGTAGCATGATGCTACCTGCATTAGAGTCATGCAAATATAGTATGGTATATCAGACACTTTAGTATGATAACATACGTACCTGTATTAGAGATATGCAAATGTATATGGTATATCAGACACTTCAGTATGATACCATACATGTACCTGCATTAGATGATCTAGAGATATGCAAATAATTATGTACCGTCTTGGTGTACCGTATGAATGTTTAAAATAAAAAAGATCAATTCTTTAATTAGAATATTCTTTATTTGTCGTTTTCTGCTTTCGAATTAGTTTACAGTATAAAAATATCAAAATAAGAATTGTGTGCTTCGGATTATCCATATTCCGGAGTCATACCATTGGCTACAGGCACGCCATTCCACTATCAGAATATACATGACCAATCAGATCACAGAAAATAAATCGTGTATTGGTTGACGAGTAACCCTAGAGGTGTCGTCAAAATCGTCTTCATCCACGATTTAATCGTAGATCGACAAAAATCGTCAAGTTTCGAGGAATGGAAATATCGTAGAAGACCATTGAATCCGCAAATCGTAATTGATGTTTTCGAGAAATGGGTTTGATAATAACATATTGAAGCCATATACCCAACAAAACAAAAAAACAAATGAACAAGTAGAACAAATATAAGGAATTTTTGTAAAAATCTAAGAACTATCATTTTCAAGATCACTACTTTAATTCTTCATTAATAAACAATTTGTTTTAAACAATATTGAAACAATATTGAAAGAGATGAGATAAAACTGACTGAATTCAATGATGCATTCTATCGACTGTTGTAGCCATTTATTTGTTAATTCAATTCTCTTCAAAATCCTGGTCCCCAGGTCCATATGTTGTGAGGCAGCCAGGGTTTAGGTTTTGCATATATTGTCTTTCCACCTTGGTTATCGGCGAATACGAAACTTTTGATAAAGTTCCTGGTATTTTGTCTCTTAAGATTTCTATTTGCTGTCGACCATGGTGCACTCTGAATCCGAGATGATGCGGTGTTTCTGAAAAAATAATCACATATACGTGTAATAAACCTGCGTTTTTCTGACCCGTACAAGATAAATGTGCAACATACGATCTAAATAGAGATGGAGTTGTTCCTGATGAACCTTTCATTTGATCAAAGTGATCCGATGATAAGACACAAACCAAGTGCAATTCGCGTCCGCGTTCAAAAAGAATGGAGAACAAGTTATTTTATTATGCCAGTGAGCTCTTATGACTAGCCTACGAGTCACAGGGTCAAACACAATGTAAACTGAACTTAAACTGATTTTGAAAGACGTTTTACAGTCCAGTTACCTTCTTGCACGTTCAATGATGCTCTCTTCTCTGTAACTAAGCGGTCTGTAATGCCAGTTTTTGGCCTGCTGGCACCATGGGCATGGGAGATCTATATACTCATCAACATCAATCGATTCTCCTTCATCATGTTCGCATTTTGCCATTCTAGTCATTCTGGCCATGGCGCTTTTAGACTGTCTATCCTCCGTCACATTCGGAGTATGTCGATGCCCCGATTTAGGCATGACCGCCCTTCCACTTACACCGAATGGATTAGCGGGCTTTGCGATAGAGGACACTTTCACGGCATGCACTTTGTTCATTCTAGTGAATTTGTGTTGCTTTGACGGTTTGTTAACGTTATCGGGTCCTGCTTTTAAAAAGGTCTTTGAAGGCATTGCTCCCGCGTGCTTTGCTCGAATAGGTGGAAGGTCCAACGAAAATGAGATTTTCCTCGGACTTTTGACTGTCGCCCCCGTCATCGCTTCATTCATCTCAAGGATTTTATGGGATAAATACGGGCTGTGACGTGTCGATTCGAGGTTGCTGCAACGATATATAAAGAAGTTGGGGACAATGATGTAAATATATCAAAATACCATGCCTGGCCCCATTAAATGCCCAATAATGATCAATCCACACTTACAATGTATAGTCTAGTACTTGGAGTTTAAATATTTGTTCCAATTGATGCGTTATATTTTTAATCAATCAATCGATATTATTGAAAAATATACACTTGAGCAAAATAAAGAATAAAATACAAGGACGCAGGTCAGTCTAATTTAACATGTCTTCTATTTTGAAATCTAATCTTTTCCGATATAACCGATGTTCATCCTTACCTGTCAGGCGATTTCACCAGCTGTCTTTGAAACTGAAGGGCAACAGACGGTAAATTTATCTCATCCGTCCTACAGTATGTATTTGAAACTACAATCTAAACGATTGAAAAATCAAAAGGACAGCAAAAATTCGTCAAACTGCTAAATGCTACATGAAAACTTAGTAATAGTTTTCATAACGTTAATCCAAAAATACGTGAATACTAATCTTGTTTCCTTCCAAGGGCAACATTTTAAGGTAAACTGATAATGCAATTGAAAACAATTGCTCAGTGGGTCTCGAATAAAGTGGAGTGTAATACAAAAATCAGCGGATCTTGCAGATAAAATCTAATCTCTTTAATCGCTTTTGTTGCTTTTATTATCTTATGATGGATTAAGTATTTATATTTGATCGTTTCAACAGAGTTTTTAAAGCCAAGCCCAAGTCAAAAAAAAAATTGGCACTTGATGAACGAATGATACCCCGTTCGGAATATCCCCGGGCTTAAAATACACCTTATTACATGTAAAGTGTTTCAGTGCATTAGGATCAGATGTGTGATACTGGCTAGTATTTTTTCATTAATACGATACTCTTCGAAATTCAACTTGTGTTTTACTTTAAATCAAGTGTAAGTTCTTAGTTAACTGTTTTGGTTTCTATCCCAATGTCAAATATACACTTTCTTAATTTTTGACCAGTTTCTAGTATTGCTTTAACCCAACACAATACAGCTAAAGCTCTGGCGGATCCGGGGGGGGGGGGGGGGGTCACGGTGCCCAAATATTTTGCCAAGGCGTTGAATAATGGAAATAGCGCCATGAATCCCGGGACAATGAATCTCGGATCCAAGTACGTCGAAAATCAAAATATTGACGAATTTATAACCTAAAAGGCCGAAAGATTATGCGGCAAATATTGAAACGGATGGTTGTCAACATATTGTATTAGCTTTTATCTCTTAAAATCCGTTGAATCCTAAGCGGTTGGAGTTGTTTAGGCGGCACTAAACAAATGATATGAAATGATGAGGATTTGAGTTTTTTTATAATGGCGGGAAATAGGGGATTAGCAAAATATCCCGAAGATTAAATTATTAAAAGGCCGAAAGATCTATGGATGGATTTTGCTGATTTATATATCAAAACGAACACTTCGTTGGGTGTAACAAGGATCCGTTGAATCCTAAGAAAATAAATGATTTGCGAAAAATTTAAGATTTTAAATTTTGATGAAGACTGCTCTCCATTGAAATTTTTCTGTTTGGCACCATGAAATGTCGGGGGGGGGGGCTGGGTTGGCCCAGAAAAAAATTGGGCCCAAAAAATGTTGGGCCAAAAAGGGGGGGGAAGTTTTTTTCTCTGACCTGAATTTTACCCCCCCCCCCCCCCCTGTTGGTTCCCAGATCCGCCCCTGGGGCTACATTGTGGGCCCAATTTTTGGACTTTAGGGGCCCGAGGCGCTTCATTTTTAAGATTTGACACGGCCCACCCCTCTTCCTTCAGTTACAAGCTTCGCCGTTCTACTTTTACATGACGTCACGTCTTATACCCGGGTTTCCCCGGGGAGTTTCGCCCAGAGAAGCTCCCGGGAAAACACATTCCTAATTAAATATATGTTAGAATTAGTTTCTAGTCCCCCTGTTGGCATGCCATTCCCATTCCTCAGTCCAATATGTGAAGTAGCGAAGCATCATGGATGTTTAACAAATGAACTCATGTTCATATGGTATGCAATAAAACATGTAACAATAAAAGGGGCATAAATTTCAAACTAGACTGTGTATTTATATGCATTTCCGGTCTAATCTACTTTTAAAAATTTGAGCATATTTTTCAGTAAAATGGTCAATCCAAGAGACTCAGGAACAAATCAACGGTTGAAACAGTAAGTTCAATAACAGATTTATCATCTTTGTTTGTGTACTCTAACAAATGTAAGCCCAACCTATACCGAAATTTGATCTCATGGTAGAATAAAAAAATTCAGAAAATTAGATTGATCATAGATATGTAGGCCAAGGGAAAAGTAATAGTAAGTTGTATATTAGAAGAGACAGGTGCACAAGTCTGACTTAGACCACTTGTTAAGATGGAGATTTCTTATCCCGTACCAGATATTCCTGCATTGAGAGCATTCTTTTGCCTGTAAGATTACAACTTGGGAGAATTATCTACAGGCCTGTCAACTGTCCCGCAATTTGCGTATTTGTCACGCGTTTGCTGAAGAATTTGAAGTCACGCCAGTTATTTTTGCGTGACAGAAAATGTCACGCAAATACGCATTTTACCTGGTAATTGTCAAGCAAAAATATTTCTGTAGGAAATTTTGTAAAAAAGATCGTCTACACAGCAAAAATACGAACGACGGGAAAAAACGTACGCATTTCGTTCGGACTTTTCACACGAATTACGGATATGTCACGCATTCAGTTCGAAATTTTTCGTCCCTACCCCCCCCACTTTACACGCAAATATTGTGACTAAAAACGAAATTTTTTTTGTTCCGCCGATAAACCCAGACAATTGTGGATTCAACTACAAGAAAAGAATGCTAAAATACCAAGGAATCTATTGAAATAGGTATCTTAAGTGTAAGGAGCATAGAAATTCTCCCATGTTGTAATCGTACAGGCAAAAGAATAAGACGTTCGCAGGACTGACCTGGCACGGGATAAGAGATTTCAACAATATCTAGTATATTATTTTCAAAAAGCAATGGGCAGTTGATAGAAACTTGATATTTTGTAGCTCTTACCTAAGATTGAAACCAGTCAGATGATATAGAGTGAATAATGCTGTCTAAAAGAGAGAATTTCTGAAAATCTGCAATTGCCAGGCAAGTTCAGTATCCAGAAAACATTTGTAACAATTGCAGGGCTGTCAACTTGGGACCATCTAACATGAGTGACTTCCACCTCAAATCTTTCCAGCTCGGTAACGCTCGCTGTTAAACTCCGTCAACAGGTGTAAAATATTTCAGAAGAAATGCGTGATATACACATATTTTGTACCAAATGCGTGACATAAACGGCAATCGCATGCAAAGACTGAATGGAATGCGTTGCTATTTTTCCAGCAAATGCGTGACAATCACGCCTAATGCGTGAGGGTTGACAGGGCTGCAATTGATCTGATTGGTCACTGCTCACCTGCCTGACCTCCAAAAGTGACAATTTCTGTTATACTAACCAACCAAATCACTTGTCAAGTTTCAGCTTGCCAAGAACTTCCATTTTGACGTGTCCTCTCCTTAGATGAGAGGTGACCCTCGATGTTGATTGGTCTACATCATGTGACCTGTATGACTAATGTCATTCAGGCCATATCATCCAGGGCTCTCACCAGGAAACATTTAGGGTGTGGCGGAAACATCTTCAGCATAACTGTTCAATCTTGATAAATCATATTTGTATGTCATATTTTATCCTTTTTACATGCTATTATTGTGTATTCAGTCAAGTTTAGACTTTGGGAACAATCATGATTTGCCAATAGGTGTTGTTTGGAGCTAAATAGAGTGTGGTGCTGCACCACAGTCTAAAAGCCTAATGGGAGCCCTGTCATCATTGCTAATCGGTCAAATTAAATGCCATTTATTGATCAAACCTGGTGGGAACAAAATGACAGATAAGGGAAATGCGTATGTTTGAATTTTTATGCAGCCCTATTGGAGTCACATGTTATTTTAAGGAATACATAATTCATTTATACATGTATGTACGGTCTCCATCTTTCACATTTGCACAAAGAGTGCACTAAGCTACCAAGCAAAGAGAGCAGTGAATAATTTTTTATATGTATTAAAAATGGGAAGGTGACCTTCTTATTTTGTACTTTTACAAAGTAGGTCACTGAATTTTCTCATACATTATAACAAAATATCCTTATCACCCTTTTCTAGGTAGATCTCTTTGAGCGAAATTGAAAGATGTAGACAATGTAGGAAAGGAGGAGTGAAAAAGAGATGGATTACATCCATTGCCATTTGCCATGAATGGACCTGGATATTAGAATTGGGTTGAGATTTTGAAAATCGCCAGACATGAGGCAGACGATGCAATTACCTCACCAAGATTTTGCAGAAAAATATTCATTCATTCATTTAGTTAATTCTTCAATTGAGACTTCGGAAATGTCTGTTACTTCACTTCTGATCCAAAATTTGCCTCACCAAATCTTAAATCCTGCGTACGCCCCCTGAATACATTTTTAAGGTATTTAAAGGCAGAATCAGATCTATAGGGGGTGACACAAGTACAAGCAACATGTGCAATTGACCTACCAGTCTATTCCTTATAATCTCAAATACAATATCTCCCAAAAGATTCACGATATGTTATAAATTGATAAAGTTATCATGGTTTCAAAGTGCAAAAATAGGTGAAAAAAAAATTTATTGTAAAAATCTTTAGTTTTCCTCAAATGAAGTGTGCACCTTGGGGATTTTTAGAAAATAGACATGACAAGGAATGACATGAGCCACAAATATTCTAAAATCGAAACAAATTTTTGTTGGCCTGCTCGCTAGATCTGATTCTCTCTTTAAGATATATCCTGTTCCTATTTTACATGTATTTTGAGAGGCATATTATTCTTGCATACATGGTCTACTCTACATCTTTCAGTTTGCATGCAGTTACAGGCTGAACAACATTTGTGAATCACAATGTTGAACATTAAGAACTACAAGCCCATTGCTGAAACATTGGGTTTGTGCTGTATTTTCGTCACACTGGGATCTTGCAGGGTTATACTTACTAAACTATCTGTAAACAAAGGTGGGTATTTTGTTCAAATACTTCTACACAATTTGTGTATGCACTGGGGATCAACTGAAAATGAAGAATGTCTCAATCTCAGCATGGCAAGTCTTCTGGTCTTTGTTTCCAGTTGATCCCCAGTGGTATTGGGAATCTCTCAAGAATATTAAGGAAATTCAAGAATCTCTTATATGATAATCTCCATGTATTTGGAGCCACACTGGTTATTTTTTGCATGCAGTTCCTCATCTTTTTTCAAAAAGACAGGGATTGTTATTAGTATATCGAGTTTACTGTTACCTTATTGCCATTAGTTTGTGATTTAAGAATTCAAGAATTTAAGGCACATGAATAGGTTACAACTGCAAGCTAGGCTCTAATTACATTTTGTATTACAGAAAAGTTATTGTGTGAGATAATAAGACAATATTTGTAGCCCTAAATACAAACATAAGGTTTTTGATGACCTTATGATGGATCAAAATGTTTTGTGTATAGTACATGTATTTATTACATGCACATTCACATTCTGTTTTGAAAATGAAGCAGGTGCAGGTCTGACCATGAGACTGACCTTCATGTACATGCTGAATAGTGAATACTATTGATTTCAGACTGACCTTCATGTACATGCTGAATAGTGAATACTATTGATTTCAGACTGACCTTTATGTACATGCTCAATAGCGAATACTATTGATTTCAGACTGACCTTTATGTACGTACATGCTGAATAGTGAATACTATTGATTTCAGACTGACCTTTATGTACGTACATGCTGAATAGTGAATACTATTGATTTCAGACTGACCTTTATGTACATGCTGAATAGCGAATACTATTGATTTCAGACTGACCTTTATGTACGTACATGCTGAATAGTGAATACTATTGATTTCAGACTGACCTTTATGTACGTACATGCTGAATAGTGAATACTATTGATTTCAGACTGACCTTTATGTACATGCTGAATAGCGAATACTATTGATTTCAGACTGACCTTTATGTACATGCTGAATAGTGAATACTATTGATTTCAGACTGACCTTTATGTACATGCTGAATATTGAATACTATTGATTTCAGACTGACATTTATGTACATACAGAATAGTGAATACTATTGATTTCAGACTGACCTTTATTTACATGCTGAATAGTGAATACTATTGATTTCAGACTGACCTTTATGTACATGCTGAATAGTGAATACTATTAATTTCAGACTGACCTTTATGTACATGCTGAATAGTGAATACTATTGATTTCAGACTGACCTTTATGTACATGCAGAATAGTGAATACTATTGATTTCAGACTGACCTTTATGTACATGCTGAATACTTTTGATTTCAGATGGTCAATATGACTACATGCCAGTGACAGTTAATGTCTGCGCAGAGTTCATCAAACTAACTGTTTGCCTCCTACTGACAGCCAAACTAGCAAGAAAAGGTATGCATATATGTTTTTTATATTTCCCCTTCCCCTTAAAAATACAATTTGGGCTTCACGCCCTTGTTTTCTGAAAAAGTCCTTTCTTAGCAAAGTGGAGATGTTTTTCCAAGAGGAAAAGTTTTTGCCCAATTTCTAGATTCACCCCTGTACCAATGCTCTCTTTAGAAACCCCTTGTCTATATAGATGGACAATGGCAAGTTAGATCATTCATTATTGCATACTACACGCTGCATCTCTCCCCTTTTACTACCATCTTCCATAATTGTGTGAATAATATAGGGGTTTTAAACATTCTTTTTACTTCAAGACAAATCGGTGTGTATACAGAGCATTTCCTGCAACAGAGCAGGGATCTTAGATCTACTGAAGTGGTCAATACCAGGAGCTTTCTACTTTGTTGATAATCTCCTTGCATTCTACATCATCAAGTATTTTCAACCAGTGAGTATGATGTTGTATATCACGCGGTCCTAACTTCGACCATTAATTATCCCATCGAACGAAGTTCGGAGGGATATAGGGAACGCCTCCGTCCGTCCGTCCGTACGTCCGTCCGTCTGTCCGTCCGTCTGTCCGGGCAATAACTCAAATACCATTGGCCCGATTTTGTTCATATTTTGTACACATATACCTTATGGGGGTAGAAGTTCTGCTCGAAAGCCGATTTTCAAAATGGCCGCTCATTTCAAAATGGCGGCCATTTTAGTGCCGATTTTGCAGTAATTTAGGTGCAATATGTAAAACTGTTATATCAATATGTTTTAAATGTAAAAAAGTTATAAAGGACATTAATAATGCTACAAATGTAGATATTAAAGAAGCACATGGCAGCCATCTTGAAAAATGGCGGCCTTTACTCATCATTTTACGATTTTTGCTATAACTCAAAAAATAGTGGAGCGATTTTGTTCATATTTGGTATGTGAATACTATAAGCATTGTACACTGTCTTAAGACACTTTTGGTAGAAGGCGGCCATTTTGAAAAAAAAATTGAAAAATGGCCGCCATTTTAACGTATTTTACTATAACTCGAAAAGTAGTGGAGCGATTTTGTTCATATTTGGTATGTGAATACTATAAGCATGGCACACTGTCCTATGACACTTTTGGTAGAAGGCGGCCATTTTGAAAATTTTTTTGAAAAATGGCCGCCATTTTAACGTATTTTACTATAACTCGAAAAGTAGTGGAGCAATTTTGTTCATATTTTTTGATATGTGAATACTTTAAGCATGGCACATTGTCTAATAAAACTTTGGGGAGTAGTCGGCCATTTTGAAAAATGGCCACCATTTTTATGTGTGTTATTTTACAAGTACGTGTGCGATTTTTCAAAAATTTTAGAGGTGGCTACTGAAAAGCATATTATTTCTTCTGATGACAACTTGGCTAGTGAGCAACCATTTTGAAAATGGTGGCCTTTCTGGTGTGTTGTTTTATGATATTTGCTATTCGTTTGTAAAAATGCCAGCCATTTCTGTTCGATGGGATTCGCTACGCTTTGGCGTTGCCGTTGTTCTGGTTTGAATTTTTGACCTACCAGATGCTCAAAAATCAAGGATTGCGAGTCTCATACTGCACCGTTTTTCTTCAAACTTATACCATTAAAAGCAAAACAAAATTGCCTTTCTGTCGGTGCATTACTTTATTGTAAAGAGTCCCTCGTTCTAGCAGCGTTTTGGTCCCCAGTTGTTAGAAGGTACCAACAGAAAGGGATTTTTGTTATGCTTTGAATGGAGCAAGTTTGAAGAAAAACGGTGCAGTACAAGACTCGTAATCCTTGATTTTCAAACATCCGGTAGATCAAAAATTCAAATTAACAGTTGAAGTTAGTACTGCGTGTATATGTAAGGACTGTTTTTGAAAGAATGAAACATGAGTAATGTAGAACAAATCTCAATGTCTGAATGTTTAGCAATACCTCAAAGCTCCTTATGCATCTATTTTAAATGACATAACAAATTTGTTGCAACAGGTTTATGGAAATCAGGCAGTTTTGCAGCTTGGAATTTTGTGATAACTGGTAGATGTACGATCTGACATTGAATAATGATGTATAGTTCAAGGCACTTAGATTCTTGAATATTTTAATGATTTTACAGAAATTAGCAATTCACACAGGAAATGCATCTCCCATCCTTTTAACTATACCAGCAGTAATACAAATCATACTCTGCTCAAATACAGTAATATGAAGTTAAGTTGATGTGCTTCATGTTTTTCATGGTTTAATATAATGTAACATATGTCTATATTTTATTTCAAGGCTGTGGTTGTACTTCTGGGGAACTTTGTAATCATCACAACATCATTGCTATTTAGGCTTGTCTTAAAGTAAGTATAAGATTAACATGAACTCACACTTCAATTTTTCCCTTCCTGACTAAGTAATTCAGATTCATAGCCAGGAGATTCGGGGGGGATCACCATCCATCATTTCCTGTATTTTTGCGGTGGCCCAAATGTGTAGCATTCAAAATATGTCTTATTTCGTTTAAGGCAAATGGTAAAAACCCGGGTAAGACATTTCACAAAACCGCTCGATATTACACTGCACTCCTTAAGCGCCTAACGATTTAAGGTGTTTTTTAGTTGCTGGAATTACACCAAGCATTTTAGAAAGGCGCCCAAGATTTTAACCCGGTTTGAAAAATAGGTGTAATCACGATTGCGGTTTTACAAAAGCTCTTTTCCAAAACTCCAAGAACCTTAGTCACTAGAAAACGCTTTATATCATAAGGCGCTTTTGGAGTGTAGTGTAATACCGATCGGTTTTTGTAGAACGCCTTACCCAGGTTTTTACCATTTACCCTAAACGAAATAAGACGTATTTCGAATGCTACAAATTTGGGCCACCGCAAAAATACAGGAAATGATGGATGGGAGCCAAAAGATGCAATAGGTCATCAAATCATATCGCAAAAATTGAAAGTAAGTTCACATCACTGGCAAAAGTCTCGATTACGTTTTCTCTTAGATGCTAAAAGAATACATTTATTGTAGATGTACACGTCTGCTGGATATTCTCCATATCTATATCGTTAAAAGTGCACAAAAGGCGTTTAAAAAATAACAGGTGTAATTCCAAAATAAAATTCTTAAGGCGCTTTAGAATTGTTGGTGTAATCAGGATGGCGATTTTTTAAAACGCTTTCCATTAAAGCGCTTTTAGCGGTTTTCTGGTGTAATTCCAGCAAGTGACGAGGGTTCTAGGAGTTTTGGAAAAGCGCTTTTGTAAAACCGCAATCAAACCAGGTTAAAACCTTAGGTGCCTTTCTAAAACGCATGGTGTAATTCCAGCAATTGTTATAGTTTCCAACTTTTTAGTGGATGGTGTTTGGCATATGGCGGTTTGTGTTTGACGATCGCAGTCAGCATTCGTAGCAAATGGCAGGTGTTGACATTTTACATGTTAATGCCTTGTATTCTAATTTGTTGTGATTTTCTTTTCAGGAGGTTGTTGTCGAGAATACAATGGGCATCACTTCTTGTGTTATTCTTCTCAATTGTTGCATTATCTAAGATTTCTCAATCGCATGTGCCAATAGATGGCCACAGACATCACATCTCCGATCACATTTTCGACAAATCTCCACTGCAATCAGAACAAAATGATACAAGTCTTAATAATGGATACCAATGCATCCCTCATCACACACAAGTTTCTGTATCGACCGACCAAAACATTTCACAAGAAGTAGGTGTTCAACTTCCAGAATCCCCCAATGGAATTGAGTTCCATGAAGGTCACATGTTGATCATCCTGCAGTGTTTTATTTCCTCAAGTGCTAATATATACAATGAGAAGATATTCAAAGAGGGAAAGGGACTAGAAGAGAGTATATATATCCAGAACAGTAAACTATATGTCTTTGGTGTTTTCTTCAACTCCATCACCCTTTTCATCATCAACACCTACAGGATCCGCTTGGCCAACTGTGGCCTTTTCACGGGACACAACATATACTCCGTTCTGCTGATGTTCACCAATGCCTTCTACGGGCTCAACATGGCATTAATCCTCAAATTCAGGGACAATATGTTTCAGGTGTTTTCAAATCAAGTTACCACTGTTGTAGTTGTGTCAGCATCTATGTACCTAATGGACTTCAAACCAGGTTTGGAATTCTTTCTCATTGCTCCAATAGTGCTGTTAGCTATTTTTATTTATAATAGTGCTAAAAAACAAGAGAGCTCAGAATCTGTTGCAATAGATTGTAATGATCATGTATACAATGTCATTCCGTCAGGTGATAATATTGGACTTTTGGCAGAGGGTGATTAAAGGAATTAAAACGAACAACCTTTTTCAAAAATTTTTTTTATTTTTATTAATTTTAAAATCATTTACTGGTATATTCATATTTCTAACTGAGGTTTACAATCCACAAGTTTAATACGTCATTTTTGGAAAGCACAGATTTTCTTGGAAAGTACAGATGTTGACTTTACTTGTCCTCCTTATTCACATTTTCAGGGTGGTCAAAAATGGAAACATTGACGCAATTTTCCTCAACAACCTCTTTGTTATTTTATGGAATTATTTCCTGAGATTTGATACATTTGTACATCATTCAATTGTCAACCAGCCTTCTTTATTTCCTGACCATCAGACTGATAGTCACAATGTTACAGTACTTTAAACAACATGCACCGGCCAGTGACCACTACCTGCTGAGGAATGCAGTCAGATCATTAACAACTTGTACATGTCTGCCTATATCGAAATGATGGCCACACCTGAAGCATGTTGTTCAAAGTGCTGTAAAAGTTTGAAATTGAATGATATACAAAATCAAGGAACCAGAACAACGGCAACGCCAAAGCGTAGCGAATCCCATCGAACAGAAATGGCTGGCATTTTTACAAACGAAGCGCAAATATCATAAAACAACACACCAGAAAGGCCACCATTTTCAAAATGGTTGCTCACTAGCTAAGTTGCCATCAGAAGAAATAATATGCTTTTAAGTAGCCACCTCTAAAATTTTTGAAAAATCGCACACGTACTTGTAAAATGACACACATAAAAATGGTGGCCATTTTTCAAAATGGCCGACTACTCCCCAAAGTTTTATTAGACAATGTGCCATGCTTGAAGTATTCACATATCAAATATGAACAAAATCGCTCCACTACTTTTCGAGTTATAGTAAAATACGTTAAAATGGCGGCCATTTTTCAAAATGGCCACCTTCTACCAAAAGCGTCATTAGAAATAGACAGTGTGCCATGCGTATAGTATTCACATACCAAATATGAACAAAATCGCTACACTACTTTTCGAGTTATAGTGAAATACTTTAAAATGGCGGCCATTTTTCAAAAATTGTTTTCAAAATGGTCGCCTTCTACCAAAAGTGTCATAGGACAGTGTGCCAAGCTTATAGTATTCACATACCAAATATGAACAAAATCGCTCTACTACTTTTCGAATTATAGTAAAATATGTTAAAATGGAAGCCATTTTTCAAATTTTTTTTCAAAATGGCCGCCTTCTACCAAAAGATTCATAGGACAGTGTGCCATGCTTATAGTATTCACATACCAAATATGAACAAAATCGCTCCACTACTTTTCGAGTTATAGTAAAATACGTTAAAATGGAAGCCATTTTTCAAATTTTTTTTCAAAATGGCCGCCTTCTACCAAAAGATTCATAGGACAGTGTGCCATGCTTATAGTATTCACATACCAAATATGAACAAAATCGCTCCACTACTTTTCGAGTTATAGTAAAATACGTTAAAATGGCGGCCATTGCCCCGAACCGGTCCGTCTTCTCGCTGCAAGCAGGATGAAATTCTTTGTCACAAAGTTTGGCATTTTTTATAAAATCAAACGCGCGTCATTCAAACTCACAAGATGTAAATAGCATGTCATTTACATCATACCTTGATGGGGAAAAATAGATCTTATATGTTAGAAGTACTAAATAAAAGTTATCGTGAAAATGAGACAGTCGTTCTCGAGAGAAAAGAGCATAAGTGCGCATTTAGAGAGTTTTGGTCCGTTTAAAAATCTGTAAAAAATTGGGGTACTTAAAAGCATCGGGAGGCATCATATATTTCAAATTAGACACGAGGAAGTCAATATTGAGCAAGTTATGGCTATTTTAAATTCAAATAAAACCGTTAACCCGTACCGGTCCAGCTTTTGACCCGTACCGGTCAATTTTCGTTAGCTGCGTATACCAAGGGTGTATATGCAATTATAAAACAAACGTGAAGAAAAACTTATTAAAATTTAAATACATTTGTTTATTTCAATACTACATGCTGTGTTGTAAACAATAAAACATGTACAGTATAAGTTAGTTAAAATTGACCACCTACCCAGTGGTTTCAGTAACTTTGTGTACAATAGGCAGATGAAAAATACAAGAGGCGGCATTCAAAATAACCAATTTTACGCTCCCGACAACGCAAATTCTTGTTATTTTAGAGTCCATGGACTGAAAGAAAGATGTCCAAGGTTTGTCAAAGTCATTTCCACGTGTGATGTGGCAACTTGCCACTGGCAAGACATGGTCTCCACAAAATAACACCTTGAACTGTGGAATCACTAGGGCAACTTATATAGAATGTCATTTACCTTTTATAAGATAACTTACCCTTACACAGGTTGCATTTCACAAATCCAAATGCACCTGTTGAATTGAACACTTTTGATATAAATCAAAATCTAGAATTGTCATTATTAAAATGAGAGTGATGTATTAATAGATGATTCACTTGTGATTATGTGTATATCAGATTCGTTTTAGTTTTTTTACCACCTCCAGAGGGTACAGGGTGTTCCAAAAGTAACAGGACTGGTGCTGGTATTTTATTAAATATACACCAATTGTCTTCAAAATTTTACATAATGTACCTTCATGTTTTGTAACTAAAATTGCCGAATTACATAATTTTTGTCGAAACTGATTTAGAAATCGGCCGATGACTATTCATCGGCCGGCGCCCGGCGCATATGTGGCCTAGGCATTAGAGAGAGACCGAGGTGGGAGATATCCCCCTCCCCTCTACACCAAACTTGTTCTCACTACGTTTTCGAAAATTGCCTGAAAGGCGTCCTCACACATTATTAAGGAATACATATCTACACATTTTGCGCATTTAACCATTTGATAACATATTGTGGATCTTATCTTAATTTGTTAATGTGAATTCGCACCTCCATTTGCATGGAAGACTTGTATGTGTTGCTACTTGCATGTAGCTACAAGTATTTAATTTCAATAGATGATAAACTTCTCAATATAAGAAATTACCCCCATAAGACATTGTTGCAAGGTGTGTTGCAATGAATGTGACATCCCACATTCTCAGGCCCGCATTATGTATTCTCGAAGAAAGCCATCATGATATAAACCATGACATCTCATTTCCTCTCAGCCCTGAGATGATTCAGGTGAAACAGAAAGATGCTATGAGTATCAGAATGGAAGATAGCATATGTTTGCATTGATGGTGTATAGATAGTTATTTTATATAGTGTTTTTAGTTGTACGTGGAAACCTATTCTAACCAGGAAGGATATTGCAACTTTTTTCAAGATCCTAAAGTTGCAATTTTCGTTATTGTGTTTCATTGTAAAGACGCACCTGTGAAAGTGTGTCGCTGGTACAAAGGCGTAGTTCTAAATACATTTAAGATTTTTAAACTTGTATGTGAACGTGTAGAATTATGGACCTGATGGATTTTTTTCTCCCTTTTGTACTGTTAATACTTGGCCGGTTGAGTATATAAAGGTATACAAGTGGGGGTTCAAACCTCCCCCCATCCACACATACACTTTTTATCATGCTAAAGTAACTTCCCAAATGAATCCCTCAAACGGTTTGGCTGGAAACCTGTAGACAAACCTTGACAGACAAGATTTTAGGACGGAAAATCCAAAATGGCCGCCTTAATGCCGAAAAACTAATCAGTTCTAAACTTTCATAGGTAGAAACATCACTGAGAATTTCAAATGAATCCCTCAAAAACAGTTTGGCTGGAAACCTGTAGACAAGCCTTGACAGACAAGATTTTAGGACGGAAAATCCAAAATGGCCGCCTTAACATTTACCCAGAATGCCGAAAAACTAATCATTTCTAAACTTTCATAGGTAGAAACATCCCTGAGAATAGACTAGATGCGAATAGAAATAATCTTAATTTACGTCATTAAATATTCAAAATTCAGTCAAAGTGATGTCATATTTGAAATCTACATGTAAAAGTTCATCGGAAAAATGGTTTCGAAAATTGTTTTTTGAATTTTTGAAAATGTGAGCTCGGGTTGATTCCTCATAGACCCCATGTTACAAAATCACAAAAAGTGAAATATCTTTTCTTGTATTCGACAGATTACATTTTCTTTTACTGGACATATTTTAATTTGCATAACTATTATAGATACATATACATAAGGGTTATATAAAAATTGAACCACTAAAACAGAATGATGTAATTTAAGTTAAAGGGAACTTTCTACTATACCCGCCATGTTATCTGACCCGAACGAGCCACCTGGTGGCGAAACTGGTAAATACTTACTCGCATCTGCGTTATTCCAAATTAATCCCTCAAACAGTTTGGCTGGAAACCTGTAGACAAGATTATTCGGGACGCCCGCCCGCCAAACCGCCCGGCAAACTGATTACAATATAGCACATTAGGGTGCAATAAAAACTAAGAGTTTATTAAGATATACTAAACATGGGATGGGGCAGTAAAAAAGGCTTAAAAGGACAACTTAATTAAACGCACAATTTCGAATAACAGCTTGCAAAATGTCTAACAAACTGTATGTTAATCAACCATTTAGGGGAGGCATCAAAAGATCAATGTCTGATAGAAAACTAAATAAATCTAGTTTGGGGAGAGGGGTTTAAAAATAAAGACTTTACCAGATGCTTTCTTCACCAAGATGCATGCAACATGAAATATTATGCCTATTGTTGGCACATGTTTTAAGAATTATAAATAAGTTATAGTACTGTCCCCATGAAAGTCCAAATTGAGTCGCTAAATCATGTGAAAAGTCCGCGATCAACTTTCATTGTATTTAGTTTTGAGGGGGAGGGGGGTCCAACTCAAAACTAGATTTATTTAGTTTTTTGAAGCCCTGTGATCGGAGGATGCCCCTTAGTCAAGCTTGAATAAGCGAGCACAAATTATATACTCACAATTTTTTCATATTTACCCCCTACCCTCTGTTGAAGAAGTGGTGGGGTTGTTATGATTTTTTTCTTATTGATAAGACACATCGCTGTCATACTTTTGGATTTATCCAATAATTTTTGAGCAATGTTGTGGAATTTTTTCATAGACTTTCATGCACTTGAAAAAAGTTTATGAGAGAATGCTTTTGAAATTCAACAAGTCAACATTGAATTGGGAGCTTTAGTCTACCTTTGAGATGGTCCCTTGTAGTGCATAGACCTGCATACCTTTATGCAAATTAAGTGCAACTGTAATAAACATACTTACTCCCTGATTTGCATATTTTTGATTTTTGTTTATATCATGTTAAATTCTTATTGGAATTTTGTCAAATGGAGAAAAAATTATTAATCCCAAATTCATTTGGGACAGAGGCATTTCATTTGCAACATATTGCTGCTTTGTGGATAACAT